GATAGGATCTATATCTGTTTGCTTAGATATTTAGCATGCAGGCTTCGGAGTAACTAGAATGAAATAGTTAAATTGAGTTTTGCATTTTAAAATGTTTTATTATAAGCTAGAGTTAGGAACAAAGCTGAGCTATTTCCTGGGGGAAATTCTTTTAAAACCTCATTTATGAATAAATGTATTTTTCATGTTCAAAGCCAAATATAACATTACTTTAAATCAACTGTCTTAGATGATCTTTAAAACGATTGACAAATGTTCTAAAACTGTTAGCTATGTCCTTTATTTTAACTTTAGTATTAGGGTGTTTGCAGATGTCTCTATATTTTCCTTATGGTCCCATTAAAACACAAGAAGTGATTTTACTGAGCATATATTTAAATGTTGTAATGTCTAAGTGTTTCTTAACTCAGAAGTCCCCGCCTGCCCCTTGCCTCCTCTACCCAGGTCATTAGCAAATCTTTTCCCTAACTCTTGTGCTTTTCTTCCTCTCCACCACCACCAGACCCTCTTGGATACAAACTGCCATTATCTTTTTTTCAGAATTATTGCTATGATTTCCAAACTGACCACTGTACTCATTCTTAAGTCCCTCTAATTCATATCTATACTGTAAAGATATGAATTCTTCACAATCTGATTAAACTCTACCTGTCTTAAGTCTTCTAACGACATTTCACTACTTTCAGGATAAGGACAATACCCCTAAGATGAACTGTGGGAAGCCATGTGCCCAGTCTCTCCTACCCTCCCCTGTCCCACTTCACTCTGCATTCACTTTTGCTCTTCTTACACCAATCAAACTGGCTATCTTTTTATCTCCTGAGGGTGTTGTGCCTCAATCCTAAACAAAACGTCCGCACATTCTTCTCTCTGCCTAGAATTCTTTCCTCTTCTCTGAATCTAATTGCTCCCATCCACCCCTCAAATCACAGCTCACTTAACATCTAACCCACAAAATCGTCTATGACCTCCCTGATTAGGCCAAATCTGGATAATATGTTTCTCCTAGCATCATTTACCTCCACACATCTGCATTTTCACAGTTGCAAGTGCACATTCATTTCTGTGTCTATGTGATTAATGTGGAGGGCAGGGCAATCTCTGGTTTAGCTTCCTGGGTAGTACTGCTAGTACCCAGAACAGTGCTTGGTACCTGGTAGGAGCTAATGAATATCTGTGCAATGAATGAATGAATATTCATAAAGGGCAGAGATTGTTCCAGTGAGGGATTCATACTTAGCTGCCATTGGGAGTAAATGTAATGCATGTGAGTTTATAATATAAGTTGAAGTCACCGTAAGATGTGACAGTGTTGATTTCAGCTTTCAATTATGTAATAACTAATAGAACAAGTCCTGTTTACATTTGAAAAGGCATGTGCTATTTTTCCACTGGAGAACCCCCAGGGACCATACATTACCCATAAAACTTTGCTTCTTTGGTTTAGCATTTTAAGTGGCATCTACTTTATATAAATATCTGCAGTTCTGGATTGTGGGAGCAATTGAGCCAGCTTGTTCCCCAATTAACTGTCAGAATTTTCAGCTGGATTTAGATTGGTATGTCCCTTTGGCTATGATTGTTGTCCAACTTTCTTCTTAATTTTCTAATACTGCTCTTCCACAGCAGAATGTAAATACAAGGCTTAAAGAATTTGAAAATAGAGGGGCTAGGGTTGTGGCTTAGCGGTGCAGCGCTTGTCTTGCACGTGTGGGGCACTGGGTTCGATCCTCAGCACCACATAAAAATGAATTAACAAAATAAAGATATTGTGTTCATCTACAACTAAAAAAAATCAAAAAAAGAATTTGAAAATAGAATAGGAAGAATATTCAGTGGTGCTGTTTTATTACTTCCACAGTGTACATGCTGTAGTTATTGCAAAATGATAGTTCTGAAAATCATGTGGTTAGTAATTGTCTAACATCATACATTATCTTATAATTATTCTGGGAATAATGTTAAGCCAAGTCAAGTCATGTCAGTTCTGCATAGTGAGAAACTGGATGTAGATAAAGTTTTAATCATTTCATGACAATTTCATAATTACTGCGGGAAGCAAGAATAACAGCACTCAGTTTCATATCTTTCAAATCTCACTGTTCACCTCAAGCCCTCTTATCTTAATCAGGACTTGGGAACAAGGATTCATAGAATTATTTCATGAAAAGATAGACTGTGCATTTGTATAAATGCAACTACTGTATTGCAATTAAGCAACATACACACTGCTGCTGTGTACCATCAGCAAAGTAAATAAAATGCTGATCTGTGCTTACAGTTTGGAGATGATTCCCCTGGAGGGACAGCCATAGCTTGCTTGTCTTGTAGAGATGGAAACTTAAAGTTCAATTAATAGTGAATGTATTAAAAATTACATTATGATTTAAGCCAAGCAATTCAATATGAGGGCATAAGTAAATTAATTCAGAGTAATTTATTCTCATGTTCTGTTTTTCTAAATGTAGTCCTTGTATGACTTGCATCAGAATAACCTATTGTTCCATTCTTGTCTGGCCCCTAAGCACCCCTTTCTCCTCCCCCACCCCGCAGACCATGGAATCAGAATCTCAGGGAACAGGGCATAAACAACATTTCAAACAAACCCCAGGGTGGCTGTTATGCCTAATAAAGATTGAGAACCATGGAGTGATTTTTAGGGGCTGAGACTGATGAAAGATGTATTTAGAGTTCTAGGTTTCCTTCTGCCAGGGGGCAGTGTTCTCTGAAACGTGGCTAGGTGAATAAACCAAGCTGGAAGTTTAGTTTTTCAGTCTCGCAAAAAGTTACTCTTTCTTGTTTCCTGAGCCAGCCATGTGTCAATTTCTACCAAAATCTTAGACACCACAGCAGGTGAACTTTCTTAATTGGGATTTCTTATAAAAGAAGGTTTTGAACTATATTCCAGTCATTTTGGTGGAATTTCTTAACTTACTTTGCATTCCCAGGTTTTTTGTTTTTTTTTCTCAGCTTTGCATAATGAGGGGGTAATAGGATTGTGCAGTTGATTTGGTGCCCAACAGAGGGACTTTGGCCATCTTCCTGGAAGTTGATTTATAATGATAATCTTTTTAGTAAAGTTCTGTTTATCAATACTTAGGTGGTGATGATGTATGTGTGTGAAAAATTTCCTGACGCTCTACGACCCGGTAGAAGATAAAGTGAATTTAGCAGAATAGTTAGCAGCAAGAGGGACTAAGCTCACTTCTTTTGGAAATGGTACCAAGTGATGTGCAGAAGTCAACTATGCCTAAACTTGGCTTTTATACTTACCAGCTTTTCTTTCCCATACGGCTAGTCATCCTGTCTAAAATAGAATGAAATAATGGCTGATGTTCTGCTTCCGAACTCCATTTTTTCCCCCAAGGACAATAGTCATTGTCCCTTCGCTGGGTTTCTGCAATCAAATGTCAGACAGAGGCTCAAGTTGTTGGACTCTGGCGAAGCCTGGAGAGGCTGGAGAGTAGAGGGGGCTTGGTTTTTAGAACATGGGGAGCACTGCAGCATACAGTGAAATAACAGGATGGCCTTGATGTTCTCCTTTTTGGTTGATAGTTTCCCCCTAAAATGACGGGCTTGCATCTTGAAATTTAACATAAATAGTAGAAAAATATTACATGGGGTTAACATCTTTTATAAGCCTCGCTAAATACCCAGCTCTAAATCAATTCAGTATGGCAGACAGACTAAAGCAAGAGATTTACATAGAAAAATTCATAAGCCTGTCATCTCTTTTAAGAGGGCAAACTAAAAGAATTCTAGAAAGGCAACTCAAAGTTTGGCAGTGTATTCTCAATTAGCTGTTACTAAACTCTAGAATTTATAATGAAACCCAGGCCTACTATACAATCCACTATAAACAAGTTCTTGCTTTTGTGCTATCATGTTTTATTTGCACAGAGGCTCTGCTCCGTTAGTAATTGGTTGAGCTGTGAGTCCCTGTTTGTTTACGTATGCGCATATGCACTGTGCTAGAAAAGACAGTCCCTGGGCCTGGCCGGAAAAGCCACAAACAAACCTCCCCTCATTTGAATCTTAAAGGCACACAATATTTAAACAACTTTCAGATTTAGAGGCCTCAATTTCTCCTCTAAACGTGCTGTGATTTCCAAAGTGCTCAGTAAAGGAACTTTTACACTCACAAGAGCCTCAGAGGACACTAGATGGTCCTAGATGGGAGCTAGATGATAACTGAAGTGAAAAATAACTAGAAAAACAATTCTTGAAATCTAAATTCTTGCTGCCATTGAGATTTCCATCCTCAATTCACTTGCTAATAAAGCTTACCCTCCCTTTCCTCTCCACCTCTTCTTTCTGCTCCTTACCTCCCAAATGCCTCAAAGCCAGCTGACTTTTGGCAGGAATGGACCGAGCCTGGAGTTATTTTGTCTTTCCTCACAGGGCAGGAGGACTGCACGCTGCTTAGCTGGCATTCTCAGTATTTTGATAAAAGTTACTTCTCTAAAATATAACAATGACATGGGGAAAAGAATGCTGTCTCTTGTGCGAGTTGCAATTTCGGGAGATTTCATCGTGAGAAATATCAGAGGCATCAGAAGTAGCAGAGAATGTCGTAATAGGGACAGGGTCTTTCAAACTGCCAGCAAATAAATAAATGGAAAAGACAGGGAGAGTTATTATGCTTACAAATTGTAAAACTTTCCTTCTAAAAAAAAAAAAAAGGGAAAGAAAAGAAAAATAAAGCCGGGGTTGTCGACACTGAATAACTACATTGTAAACCTTAAAAGCTTGAAGCTGGTAGAAAGCTCTGTGCGGCTCTGTTTCATTTTTATCGGATGAAATACATTTGGTTTCTTTTTGACAAACCATGTTTTTGTGAGGGAAGGAAAACGAACGTGCGCTGTTATTGGCCACAGCTACATAAGAAATCTTCACGTTGCCAGAGGATACCACATGAAAGGGTTTGTGTTAGGGGAGGGACCGATAAGGGGGTGGGGACAAGGAGGATGATGCTTTAAGCCTCTTGTGCTCAGAGCTGCAATTTGAACAAACCGTGATGAAATCAAGCTCTGGACAAATCAGATGAGCCTGTCAACTTCCCAGGTGGGATTGCTTGTAGTTAATAGACTGAACGCGGAGCCCCGGAGCAGGGCATTCCATGTAGGCAGAGAACACGCTGCAGAAAGCTTTCCAAGAATCCTGACATGGCAAGAAGAGGCTCCTTCCAGTCTTACCAGGTAGGAGAAGGATGGAACCGCAGGGGAAAAGGCTTGCTCCTCAGAACCAGTTCCTTTTGAATCTGAGTTTTTCTGTTTGTTGTTCAGATTGAGACAGCACCTTAGGATGCATTTTGGAAGTTGTAGGATTGGGGATGTTGCAGGGACTGGAATTGCTTCATGTAATTTGATTTAGTCCTGTCTAGCTGTCTTTGACAACTCAGTCTCTCTATTCCCTTAGGTAATATCCTTGTTCACTTTTGCTGTTGGTGTCAATATCTGCTGTGGATTCACGGCAAGTCGAATTAAGAGGGCAGAAGGATGGGATGAAGGCCCTCTGACAGGTAAGAGTAACAACTATTTGCATTTCAGTTCTTTTAAAAAATATTATTCACTAGTTATCAACATAAAGTCCTTAAGAAATCCATCTTTAAGGTAATCTTGCAGGATAACTAATTTAGTCCTAGATTCCTCTGGGATGAAACCAGCTATATATGTAAATTCAGGTGAAAAAAATGTGGTTTTATTTAGAGCACATTGATGGTTGCTTCATAACAACTGTACTTTTAAGTCTGTGTACTTTGAAATTTATAAATGTTGAGATAAAATTAAAACATTTTTTCATAGCCAAGGCAAAAGCAGATGTGGTGAGAGAACAGGTGTTGGGTTAGGACTGGAGTTATACAAATGCAATTTGTTGTCATGTGATGTAAAATAGAGTGTTTGCTACCAGATAATTCTGATCCAGGAAAAAGAGGAATGAAAGTAAAAAGGGCAGTGATCTGTCTCTATGAAACTCTAGAGATTTAAAATTTTAAGATCAAGATTTACCCCAAACAGGAAAAACATAAGACAGAGGAGGTACTTCAAAGAGCTTATGGGATGGATTTTTCTCATTGTGTTTTTTCTTTTGCATAAGGAAAGGTGAGTTTTAAAAGTGTACCCTGACTTAGCTAATCGAACCAAAGTGAAAGAGTTTCCTTTTACAATATGCTGAACCATCAGCGGAGTGGGAATTCTCATGAAGGAGCTCCTTGTGCAGCCGGAGGGGACTTAACTGACCAGGTCTTAAGCAATGAGTTGGTTAATTTCCTGGAAATTGGAGCCGCTGATAGTTTTAGAAATAAAAATTACATTTTAAGTAATGGGTACTCTAGGGGGCAATATTTTCTTGACTTTTTCTGAGATCCCAGAGTGTTTGTCTGTCTTTCTGTAAATTTTGTGTTTCTCTGTATTTCTTGATCTGACCACAGTGAAAGATTCTCACCTGTCTCTGTTTAGCCAGCGTGAACTTTTGTTATTAACCAAGTTGTGATACATGCCTTGATGGAATACTAAATCTTCCTTACATCAAGTAAGTTGCTTTTGAGTCATGCCAGAAGGTTGAAAGAATAATATTAGCAGTGGGTTAGTGAATTGAAGTGGGGTGTGGTTTGGGCCAAGACTGAGAAAATAGATCATAAAAATTGCAGCCCCAGGAAGCCAAATGGACAGAAGGAGCTGTCTTCTGTTGGGGAGGGAGGTGAAGGGTCTCTGGGCTAGAAGAGAATGCTGTTTTTTATTGGTAGCAAATGCTCTCTTCAAAGGCCTCTTCGAGTGCCACTAACAGCCAGGGGGATCCAACCCTTAGTAAGGTCACGTGGACCAGCTTGCAACTTGACAGCAAACAGCTGGTTCTTTCCAATGCATTCAAAATGGGACTTTCTTGCTCTTGTTTCCTCTTCATATATTACTTTTGGTTAAAACTGATATTGAGAAATTAAATGCTAGTTCCTTAATACATGTATAAAATTAAGATATTCATTATTTTTGAAGTTGACTCTTTTGGGAGATAGTCTTAAAAGTCTTAGACTAATACTCTCTGTTCATATAGTAGGCAGTGAGGTCTTGGGCAAGTCATGTGTGAAGTCTCTTCCCTAGCTGCCCACTGAGAAGCTGACCTGGGTGATCTCTAATTTCCTTCTGGATTAAAAAAAAAAAAATCCTGATTTCCATCTTGCTTTCTTGTCTTGAGTGTTCTCCACTAGAAAATGTAGGTCGGCTTTAGTAATCTTCAAAAATACTTTGTATATGTTAAATTATTTCCAAATGTTATAAGCAACAACTAAAAGAACTAACAAATCGATGTTACTTTTGGAAAAGTAGTATGGTCTACATTATAATCTATAAATTATATAATTTTAAATACATTACAAAACATTTGATTATTAAATAATTTAAATTACTGATTGTTTCAGGCTTTATGATAGCATCTAAAATAATTTATTAGTTAAACTTCCACCTATGAGTGAGAAGCTTTGTCTTAAGGTACAATACAATTTAAGTCTGAGTTGAAGTGTTTTGTTAGGTCTGCACACTTTTTATTTTTAATTTTTCTTCTGATGTAGCTTACCTATTGTTTAGGTGCTGTGGTTGATTCCTCCAGAGGAAAGACCAAAGATGGAAACTGGGAAAGCATAGTGCAGAGTTTTTATGTCTTTTTAAATGCCACATGTGCCTAGAAGGGACATTTTTCAAATAATATGTGATTGATCATTCTGTTAGTAAAGCCTTCACATTAGAAAACACTGGGTAAATTTTATATGTGGAGTAAGATAAGACACCAGGAAGGAAAGCACTCCTGCTTTCCCATTTTCAAAGATTCCAAAGAAATCCTACAAAGTTTAGTGCTTCAAGTTGTTGTTTTTTTTTTTTTAACAAACACAAGGAACACAAAGGGTATTCATATATGGCTAGCTCTGGACTGATTAAAGCAAGATCCACTGTTCAAAAGCATGCAGCCTCTTGTTTTTTATGCAGCAACAGTGGAGAATGTTCTACACACATGTAGACCCTTACTGTTGTACTATGGACTGAGGCATTGGTTTCAAGGTTGTGGCAGAGTAAACAAACTTATAATTAATTAACTAGCATACTTGTTAGCTGGGTTTATTGTTAGGAACTAGTCATCTATTGGAAGTAAGGGTGGAATAAAATTTATTTTACCAGACACATAAAGACTTATTAGAAGGTATAAAATGAGCAGAGCAAATTATAATTCTTTTGGGTAAACATAAAGGGCACTCAGGTAAGCAAGATGGCAGGTATCAATTTTCAAAGAAAATGTGAGTAACAACTGCAATCCAGTTTGACATCTTTGTCCTGAACATCTAATGCAGATCTCTTGATTTGGTTTTAAAAAGACTGCAAGAGAATTTATGTGTGCACAGGTGTTCATGTTCTCATGTACACCTGTATTTGTGTGGGATTATGATGGTATGGGGGAGTCTACTTTATTGAAGCTTATGACATACATATTCTTTCAGTTCCAAGGTGGAAATGGAATAGCCACCTGTATATTTGAAATATATGCAACTTAATACTTGAAAGACAAAGGGAAACTTGTGAGCTCATGAATACCTGGCTATTAGAAACCTGAAAGCTCAGTCCAATTTATTGTCCTTTTCATTGGTTTAACAAGAAACTTTCAAAATATACAACTGAAATTTATGGATAAATATGAAATGTAAAGTATCATAAATAATTTTATGAGGAAAAACATTTTTTTTTTTTTTGTGAATCACAGAGACAACAGAAATGGTATTGGGGTGAGAAGGTTCATTTTCATTTGAAAATTTTAGAAGTCTTATTAAAATAGGATAATACATTGAATTTATCTTCACTTGTAAGGCCAGTTTCTACATGTATTCGTAGGGCTAATAAAACCATGATTTAAGGTGACAATGTTTCATTGTTTGCTAGCAGATTTGCAAATCATTCAGATTCATGCTACTCCTTACCTTTAAGGCTCTCTGAATAGGTTAGACGTTTAATTAAGTTTTTAACTTTTGATTTAAATCACAAAGAAATCTATTTTCTTGTAGTTTGTGAGGTCTTCCATAGGAGGACATTTTATTGATAAATTCTTTGAAAGTACAGGTGTTTGAAAACACCTATTTATATTATCCCAGGTGGACCTATTTATATTAAAAAAAAAAAGAAAAAAAAAAACCTTATGAAATCTGGCCTAGCAGCTCTGAAGATGAGGAAACAGTGATACCCATGAGTGGGTATTTATAGAAAGTGATGTTAGGAAGCAGAGAGGTGGAGAGCAGGCCTGTATATAGAGCTGCTTGCTGAAGGGTGAAGTCAGAACCATCAGAAAAATAAAAGCAACTTCAAAACAAGAAAGTATTACCTAAAAAGATGAATCAGATACTCCAGAAGAGGCATAAGACAGTATTAAATTCTAGAGCTGAGTGGAATCTTGAGTGGCATCCATGCTGCCCTTGGGGTTTCCCTGGGTTTACTTCAAACAGGGCAACCCAGGGGGAACCCTTTCTGTTTTAATGCTTTTGAGAAAAGGCACAACCACAACTTGAAATCCAATTCAGAGCTTTCTTCTCACTTTCAGGAAACACCTGGGCTGAGAACCAGAATGAATGGGAGGGACAGATAGGGAGCAGTGTCCCAAAGTCTGAAAACAGGAGCAGCCTGTTAGAAGAAGTTTGAAAGAAAAAAACCTTCCAACTTTGGGCTGGGCTTCATGTTTTCAATTTAAAGACTCTCTCCCTTATTGGTCATTACCCAAATTTGAAAATTTTTCTGTGTGGGAGAATTTCGAGGGAAATATGATGGGGTGCCCGGGATGGATTTATATTTTGATCACGACTCTTATATCAATTACGCCTTTTCCCAAGAGGCTATACATTTTCATTATTTTTTTTTCCTGTATATCTGTGGAATAAATGACACCAGAATTCTCCGACCCTCTCTGTGTATGTGGACAGTGAGATGGGATATTCTAAAAAAAAGGTTTTTGAATGAAATAATAAATTATGATTTATATTGGTATTTCTTTAAGTCATGAAATTATACTTCTGTGAAAAATAAGGAGTGTATGGCACTGTTGGTATGCATATCAGGTATATATTTAATTTTAAAATCCAATGTCCTTTTGAAAAAATAACAAAATATATTTGTAAGGTTCTGTAACATTTGTTATTCATGATTCTAGGACTGACTTTATCATTGAAGTAAAATAACATCATTTAAATATATGATTTTAAAGGCAGCAATGTAATTTGAATTACATAAAAATATTGGCAAGTGCCTCCTAAGATCTAATTTGAAGGCCCTATCACACTTACTACGTATTTCTTTTTTTTTTTTTTTTTTTTTTTTTTTTTTTAAAGAGAGAGTGAGAGAGATAGAGGTAGAGAGAGAGAGAATTTTTTTAATATTTATTTTTTAGTATTTGGCGGACACAACATCTTTGTTTGTATGTGGTGCTGAGGATCGAACCCGGGCCGCACGCATGCCAGGCGAGCGCGCTACCGCTTGAGCCACATCCCAGCCCCCTTACTACGTATTTCTAACTTAATACTTCTGAGTACTTTTTGTTTGCTTGCTCTTTAGATAGAGTTTGTCTTCTTTTTTAGTTTCAAGCTTTTGTGGGGCTCTCAGGAAAATCATGGGAGGCCACAAGTTCATGGTTCCTTGTGTGGTTTTTTTTTTTTTTTTTTTTGCCATCCTCTCATTGAGCTAAATAACTAAGGTGCTCAGGTCCATGTTCTCTTGATTTAGGTCAAGTAAAGGGGGGCTTGGAATTTAAAACTCAGATGTATAATCAACTAATCTTTCCACATTTGGTGTTGAATCGGGCACAATGAAAAGAAAAGTCCCCCCAAAGCTGTTCTCTGGTGTAGGAAGAAAGACATGGAACCTGGGCCAGGAATTCAACAAACACACACACAAATAAATAAATAAATAAATAAAAGCAAGCTAGAATGAAGAGGATGAGATACAGAATTCCTAGAAAATGAATAGGACCCCAAACTTGTCATGAAAGCAGGTAGCCAAGATGCATCAGGACCTGGAAAGGCAAAGTGAACATTCTCCTACTCTCTGCTGTTCTCTTTTACTGAAAAAGCAATGGCAGCTCAAATTTCTTAAGGTTAGAAGAGGCTTTGTATGGCTCAAACTATCTTTGCATTTTTCTGCCCCTGTGATTCCTGTCAGCACCGAGCGAATTTGGGCATAGATATCCCCTAATCCCCACAGGCTCAGGAATTCACTCCTGTTTGAAGCTGTGGATAACACAATCTTGAGTATTTTTTATGAGATGTATCTTTGCTTTATGAATGTAAATGCAGCTCTAACAAAGCTGTCTTCAGTCTAAAGCTTGGTCAGGAGGGCTGTGATAAGGGTCAACCCTTGAGTGAGAGTCAATTATATTGAAAAACAAAGCAAGGCACAAAGTGAAAGAATGATTAATAGTAAAAATCATTTTGATACTATGCATGAAAAAAGAGCACAAAATGACGAAGCATTTGCAACAGATTTTGTTTGTTTGTTTGTACTAGGGATTGAACCTAGGGGTGCTTAGCCATTGAGCCACATCCCCAGCCCTTTTTAAGATATTATATTTAGAGACAGGGTTTTGCTGAGTTGCTTAGGGCCTTGCTAAATTGCTGAGGCTGGCTTTGAACTTATGATACTCCTGTCTCAGCCTCCTGAGCTGCTGGGATTACAGGTGTGCACCACTACTCCTGGCCTATACGGATAGTTTGAAAGTAAAAAAGATATAGGGAATAGATTAAGATAAGGAGAATATGACTGGCATAAGTGCAGGAAAATTTCAAATGCTTTCTGGGACCCCTAAAGGAGACAAGGCAGGTCAAAAACAAACAAACAAACAAACAAAAAAACCTGTGAATGACATGCCTGTAGGTCTCCTCCTCGCTCAGCAGAGCTGAGCAGGCTTCTGTATGCAGCTCATTGGAGTGAGAACTGCTCACCATTTATTAGCTGCTAATGCAGTGATTCTATCTAACCACTAGCCTTAAAAAAGGAATATTCAACTATAAGTTTTTCCTTATCTTTGTTTTTACTATAGGACCATCTTTTCAATTCCTTCTCCTTGCCATGGTTTCCTGTGGTTCAGCATACACTGTTCTTAGGTTGGCCAAAGTCAATAGAAAAAATGTGGGTTTTAGACCAGAGGTAAGGCACTGCAGTGGAAACTGACATTATTTCCTAAACTGAACTGATGTGGTTTGTATGTATTTCAACATCACAGAATCAACCATGCGAAAGCATTTCACATTTCATGGTCTAGTGAATCTGTTTGCTTTAGTTCAACTGATCTGATGCCATAAAGGTTAGCACTGGGTGGTTCTGATTATAAAGAAGACAAAGGACTCAGGGATGAGCAGGATGTTCAATTACATGGTGTGGATGAACTGGGAAATGTCACTTAACATCTTTTCTCCTGTTCTTCACTTTTTCTTGATTTTTAAAAGTGATACATGTGGATTATTAAAAAAATGAAATTCATAAACATGGAAATAAAATTAAAAATAGCATGTTATAAATAATACTTGTTAATGTATTTACATGTACTATATATTGTATGACATGTTTTATACACACACATGCATATATACATATGTGATATATAGAAGAAAGTAATCAAGCGATTAAAAAAAAATCCAGAGAACTACCCACAAATTTGTAAAACGCCAGTAATTTCAAATTACAGAAATTAATTTTCTCAGTCATTTTCCAGAGATATAATTCCTGTAAACAGTTTCTTACAGGGAAGAAAAAGGTTAATTCACACCTGCACATTTTCTTAATCCCTTTACTCTCAGTCTCTCCCTCCCTCTCTGTCTCTGTCTCCCCTCTCCAGCTCTGACTCTGTTATTTCCATCCTTATCTCTTGTCCTTAATGCTCTCTTTATCTCTCTTTTTTAGCACAAAATCTAATACATAATCCTTAATACTGTAACACTATTATGTACTTTGTTCTTTTTTTTATTTTTTTGGTAATGGGGATTGCACTCAGGGGCACAGAACTCTGAGCCACATCCCCAGCCCTAGGTTGTATTTTCTTTCCTTTTTTCTTTTTCTTTTTTTTTTTTTTTTTAAGAGACAGGGTCTCACTGAGTTGCATAGCACCTTGCTTTTGCTGAGGCTGGCTTTGAATTCAAGATCCTTCTTCCTCAGCCTCCTGAGCCACTGGGATTACAGGCGTGTGCCACCTTGCCAGGCTACTTTGTTCTTTTCAGATATACACAACGATACAATATATTTTGACATATTATACACACATGGAGTATAACTTATTCTAATTAGGATCCCACTCTTGTGGTTGTACATGATGTGGAGTGTCACTGGTTGTATATTTATAAAGGACCATAGGAAAGTTAGGTGTAATTCATTCTGTATTTCCTATTCCCATCCCGACTCCCTTCCCTTCATTCCCCTTTTGTATTCCAATGAACTTCTATTCTTCTACCCCCACCCCTTATTGTGTGTTAGCATCCACATATCAGAGAGAACATTTGACCTTTGTTTTGGGGGAGGGGGTTGGCTTATTTCACTTAGCATGATCATCTCCAGTTCCATCCATTTACTGGTACTTTGTTCTTTAAAAAAAAAATTGTTTATATGTTTTGTGGATTTTCCATTAGCCTATACAGATCTGACTCACTCTTCTAAGGGCAAGCAACATTCCACTTATAAATATAGGGATTCTTTCTTTCTTGATGGATAAAGTACCTTTGGTTGACTTCAGGGACCCTTCCTCCTGCACATTAAAAAAAAAAAAAGCAGTGAATAATGGTCATTTTTTCGTGTGTGTGCATGTATTTTGGAGAACTTTTGCAATTATATATGAGAGGTAATGAAATTTCTGGAAGAGTCATGCACGTTTTAAAATGTTGATAGATGTTTCTAAATTGTATTCTATTTTACAAAAATTTGCATTCTTAGAAACAGTTATCAGTTTATATTTATATTCACCATAAATTAGTTATCTTATTAACTGGGGTGAGGGTCCAGCTTACTTTTCTCCAGTCACAACTTACTGATTAATCCTTTTCTCTTTCTCTGGTTTTAAATGTCATTTTATTATACAATATATTCTCATATATTTAGCATTTATATATGGTTCCTATTCCTGGGACCATATATAACACTGATGTACTTGTTTTCTAGTACCAAGCTATTTTAATTATTTAACTTCAGAATACACTTTTCTGTCTAGTTACCAAATTACTTTTCCTCTTCAATGTTTTCCTATTTTCATATATTTCTTTTTACATACATCTTTTTTATTTTCTCAAGTTTTAAGAACTGTTGATATATTTATTGTGATTGCATTGAACCTTTAGGGATATATAGGAAAAATTAATATTTTCATAATATTTTTACATCTAAGGTGGTATGAATTTTGATGGAATTAGACCTTTTGAAATGTCTTTTTGTAAAGTTTTAAAGTATTCTTTATGTAGGTTCTATACATGTTATTAAATTTGTTCCTAGACATTTTATCTTTTAGGTACTACAGTGAATAAAATTACTGCTTAATTTTTAAACTTACATTTCCTGTAAATTATGAATTTGTGAAATTTTCATCTCATGGAATTCTTTCTTTTCCCCAAATTTAGATGACTTGAGGTTTCTAGGACTATAATTTTATCACATGAGAATAATGATAAGAGGGTTTGTTCTTGACAAGATGAGATTGTGGAGTTTATGTTTGTATAACACTGGCTATGACATAGATTTTTTGGTTAGAAGAGATAGTAAAAGTCTTCTTCTATTCCATCACATATATTCAGACTGTCTTCAGAATATTTGAGCTTAATTTTTCTTATAAAAAGCAATGCATTATTAAATAGGGAAACAAATTCTTATTTCTACTGGGGAAGTAACCTGACACATTTGTAATAATAAATAATAATGAAACCAATAGCTAACAGATTTTACTTTTTCTATGGGTTTGATACCCTGATAAATGTTTTCCTTTGGTTGTTTAACTCTCATTTGCATGGCTTCCCAGGGCCATTCTTCCAGTGTCATGACCCCCTTCCTAAATCATTGCCTTTACCTCTTGATCCTTGCAGTGCTATCCGACTCCCCTTGGACCAACACCTCTGGATCTTGCAAGGGAAGATGTTTTGAACTTCAAGAGGTTGGACCTCCTGATTGTCGGTGTGACAACTTGTGTAAGAGTTACAGCAGTTGCTGTCATGATTTTGATGAGCTCTGTTTGAAGACAGGTATGTCACTTAGGTGTCCTCTCTCTTTCCAGTAGATGGCCTAGAGGCTGATGTTGGATGCCCTGGAGTTGCCCCCTGCTTTGGCCTGTCTGAACTATGGATTTCAGTTTTGTTTCTTGAATGACTGTTGGTCGTGTGATGAACACGTCCTGTGTGAATGACTTGTTCCCACACTGGGCCTTCACATTAGTCATCATATGCTGGTTTTAAAAGTGTTTGTGTATAGGCTTTGGTTCATAGTCACCATTTCTGCCTTTTCTTGCAAATTCCTGTGTTCATTGCCGTTGTACATGGGCCCAAAATGTGCACATTCTTAAAGTTTTAGGTTCAAAAAAAATTTTTTTTTTTTGTTTACCTGCCCTATTTCTAGCATTTGTTTTCTTTCATCTTATGTAGTGACTGCTGGTCTGCCCTGATGTCGTTCCCTATTTTCTGTACAAATGGAAATTGATTATGGAATTCTATTTGGGGTCTTGTGCTCTGGGTAGCTTCAAATCTTCTCTAAGATTTCCTGGTTTTCTTTGTATTTCTCGAATGGTGGAACAGTCATTAGAATATACAGGCTCTCAGATGAGTGCACATTAGTTGAGAAAAAACACCTTTGGGGACTTTTTCTATCATACTTGTTCTGTTTTCAAAAGTAAACATTTCAGATGGACTTTTAAGATACTTTATGAGGTCACCATCATGCCTCCAGGCAAAGCCTAAGAAAGACAGTGGCCAACCCTGTTCTTATCACCCCTAGAAGGGGATTCCACAGCTCCCTTGACCAGTTATTACTTATTTTCAGACTTTTATGCATGGATGATTCTTTAAAAAGTCTAAAAAATCTCTGTTATTAATTATATTTTCAGTGATATTGTTAGAAATAGAGACACTATTCCCTTTTACTTAAGCCATAGCCCCTTGGTTTATATGAAACTCAATATCAACTCCCATACTCATACTGATTTTTGCCCCTCAGCCCCTGCAAAATAAGAAGAGTTTCATTTTAGACTCTTTCTTTTCATAATATTTTTCCAAGAACATAGCCACCTCTTTTTGTCGTTGTTGCTTCCTTTGGAACTTTCCCCATGTTCCTTAGTTGTGACTCTGCAAACTTAAATGCTGAGATCATTGTAAATGGAGTGTATGGATGGAACAGATGTTCCAGAGAGTTCTTTGGCTTCAAAAATTGTTTCAAGTCAGCAGTCTTTGTTTGCTTGGCACTAAGGATTTTATTATTGCTTTATGTTTGTCGTACCTTCAATATTTTGTCCCTGACATGCTATGTCAATTTTCTAAAGTCTTGATCTTAGAGTTTCTTGAAAAGTTTAAAGGATCCCCTGGACTCTAGCTTAGCTCTTTCTAAATGTAGCTCATGCCTTTCTCTCAGGCTTAATAAAGATGAACTATAATACCCTTTTGTAAAATGGTTTATTCTCCTATGTTCAAACACAATGTTGATGGTGGCAGGATCAAATATCAAATAACAATAAAAAGTCAAGGGAGAGAGGCGATGTGGCTCAAGGGTAGTGCGCTCAGCTGGCATGCACGGGGCGTTGGGTTCGATCCTCAGCACCACATGAAAATAAAATAAAGATGTTGTGTCCACTGAAAACTAAAAAATAAATATTAAAAAATTTTCTCTTTCTTTAAAAAAAAAAGTCAAGGGAGAAAATCTCTGAGATTCTTCATTGCTGATACAAGCACACTCTAGCAATAAGCATGATGGTTCACTGCAAACTCTGATTACTCTCTGTCTCTGCGTGTGTTTGGTATGAATGCATGTGTGTATATGCACTTATATATACATATGTAAACGTGTGTTGGAGTATCCATATCCATAAACCTTTCTCCACATCATTCTTTTGAATGTCTACATTCTGCAAAGTGTTGAGACCTAAGTCATTAATGAATCAACATTTATATTCCTTCAACTTTTGCGACTGAGAATAATGTATCAATGAATACCACTCATGTACATAAATACTTTTTTCTATTTCCTTAAGATGAATTCCTAGCAGTGAATTTCTGGGTCAAAGTGTATGTGCATTTACAAAATTTAAACATACAGTATAAAATTGGACTCTGAAATTTCATATTGCTATCAAAGGCTCCCAGACCTTTCAGCACTGGATGCTTTTATTTTAAAAAATATATTTTTTTCAGTGCTGGGGATCACACTCAGGCCTCACACATGCTAGTCCAAGTCTAACACTATGTTACATGTCCATCCTTATTATTTGCATTGAAATCAAGCTGATCAAAGTTAAATAAAGCTACTTCTGAAAATAAATGAGCAGAGCTATGGAGATCATCTCTACAATGATAGATATCCCTATCACCAATCTTTTAAACCATGCATTTTATTGGGTCCCTTAGGACAATAGGGGAATGGGAGAGAGATTTTGCTTGCCTTTCCAGGTACCATTTTTTCCAAAGGAGGTCAATTGTACTTTGAGTTTGTCCCCAGCCTTGAAACATTAGAAATTCATCCAATCTGTAAATCCTCCAAATACCTCTAGGCCTGAGGCTGACTCAGATTTCACAAGCAGATTAAATGATGTGGGATCTGAGCTTTTTTTGTTGGAAACCCATAAGCAATTGTGGCCTCTTTCATTTGGTTTGTATGCAGCAGTGAAAGTGTTTTATTGTGATGATTTCAGCTCGAGGCTGGGAGTGTACTAAGGACAGATGTGGAGAAGTACGGAATGAGGAAAATGCGTGTCACTGCTCCGAGGACTGCTTGCTCAGGGGAGACTGCTGTACTAATTACCAAGTAGTTTGCAAAGGTACATGTCTTGGGATCAGCACGAGATCTAGAAGAATGAAAATTGGTGATACCCTAGGGTATTTTTTTTTCCCCAATATGAGCCCTTTTCTGTTTTTGATGGGGATAACTTAGAAAACACCTTGGACATGGGAGTGTCAGTGGGGGTGGGGTGGAGTTGTCCTTTTTAATTTCTCATGCATTTTTTAGTTTTTCTATCCTGCATTTCCTTAATCTGAAGTAGCAAGGAAATAAAGCCCAATTCCATAATTAGAACCACAATAATGAAGAGACTTTTCACTTTTCTGTCTTAGTTTTGGGTCAGGTTTCCTAAAAGCAGAACCTGAGATAGGAATTTGGTACCTGAAGTTAAGGGCAGGCTTTGTAGAAAAACCATGTGAAAGAGCAAGGGCAGCAGGTTGGGAGGCAGGGGTGGGTGATGTCTCAGGTAAAGATCACCATGGCCTACTCTACTGATGGTTGTGAAAATTAAATCCCAGAGTTGCAGACTTGAGGCAGGAGGGTGTGGCTTTTATATGGAGGGGACACAGCCTAGGGATGGGGGTACTAGCTGATAAAGACTGATAATGCTGCACACCTGAGCCTTATGTGAATGTGTGTTTTCTTCCTATGGTTGGTGGTGGAATATTATGCTTTTATTATAATCATTAACAAGATCAATGACTACAGAAAATATAAAAGATGTAGTTTCTGTCTTTAAGAAGTTTAAGGCACTGTGCCAAGCCCTTATAGATGTTAATGGAAAGACCCAAGATTCTTTATCTATACCTTTTAAGTCACTCTTTAGTTGCTAAACAAAACTCTTTCCCCTGTGTCCTATACGGAACATTTATAAAGAATTTCTGTTAAAAGTTTTTAGGGAAAGAGCAATTCAGTTCTAAAATGTGTTAGGTGTATAGTTGTGAGAAAATTGTATTATATTAGTGAATGTAGCAAATTTCTCATACCCAAGCAATTACTCTATTATGAATTTCTACTAACCTAAGAATTATGCTTTTATTTTTAAAGATTTTTAAAGAACTAAGAACTTACAGCCCTTTCCTCAAAAGGGAAATTTAAAAATTTTCCTATGCAGTAAGTGCATCAGCCACAAAGGCTTTTAGAAGAAAAATGAAGATAAAAAAACTCTGAGGTATCATTGCTCATTGAATTATTAAATATTAAAGCAGCTTTTTCTGGTTTAATATTCTATTTTTAGTACTTTTATGAAGCCCATATGGATGCCCTGACTTACTATGTGTTTAGTAAATCTTCCCCATTTTAAGGAGCATAGTACTTACCCAGTAAGTAGTTAGATTCTTATTGACTAACAGAGATTTCCAATGCTCTTTAAATAGGAGAAGTTTTTCCATATTAGTGATTGCAAAATTTAAGGCATGCAATTTTTGTTTGTCATAGAACAATTTAAGGCAAATTCTTTTTTTTTTTTTTTTAATTTCATTTTCTCCAAAGAAAAGCTTTTACAATCTCCACCCCTCCCTTTGGTGTGTGAGTGTGTTACTATAGCAAACTACTTGAGGCTGGAAACTTTATATGGAGAAGAGGTTTATTTAGCTCACAATTTTGGAGGTTGAAAGTTCAAGATTGGGCAGTCTCTGGTGGGGTCTTTCTAGCTATGTCACATCATGGAGAATAGATCATATTATAGTGGGAGGTACATGTGTAATAGAGGGATTTAAGATTGCTGCCAGGCTTCTTATGATAACCCATTCTTTTGGGAACTAACCCAGTCCTAAGAGACCTGCAGTAATCTCTTCTGAGGATGGTGCTCCCATGACCTAATTACTTTCCACTAGATTCCACATTTGAAAGGTTATACCACTTCAACACTGCCCCTCTAAAGATCAAACCACACAAACCGCTGGGGACCAACAGCGGTTTTTTGTTTTTCAATATGAACACTTTTCTGTTCTCTATTTTGATGGAGATAACTCAGGAAAGACTTAGGTCTATGCTGTCAGATCCTGGTGCAAGATAGGAGTGAAGTTGGTTTGCATTTCTAAAAATCAAGGCCATATACAGATCCATTGGCAAATAATCTCCATATTGTCATCTCCCATTTATCACCCCTGTATATTCTAAACCTTTTTCCCCATCTTAAGGGAAATATGTCATGCTTTTTATGGCTTTGAGATCTTCAGTGGTAGAGAAAAGAATGTTCCATCTAATGACCAAACAGTTTATTTCTGGAGGGATACAAACTTGAAATTTTGTTCACTGACGCCACTGGTTTTTTTTAATCTACAAACCATTTAGACTCTCAAGGCTCAAATAAACACCACTTGAGGTTATTAAATCTTAGCTTTCCCACCATGTATGGGTGTACTTTAAAAGCCAAACCAGACACTACACTTTATTTCAGAATTTCACTTTAGATGGTATTCCATTAGCAAGTGTCCAACAGGACACAGATCCTGGGATTATGTGCTTCAAGGCTCTGGGTGTCACACATAATTAGTCTCCACGATAAACAGACAACGCTTTTCCTTTTAGGAGAATCACATTGGGTAGATGATGACTGTGAAGAAATAAAGGCCCCAGAGTGTCCTGCAGGGTAAGTGTATTTTAATGAATATTATAAAATTGTACTATGTGCCTTCTTAGCGCAGCAGGCAGTACGTCAGTCTCATAAAATTGTACGTATTATTAGTAAAACGTCACAGAGAATAAATGGTTACAATGTAAAACTGAAATCCTTCCTTACAAACTGGTGCGTACTTACAAGTAATCTACCAGTCAAAAGCTATCTTAAAGTTTTAACAGATTTCTTGTCACTTGCGTGGAGTCCGACTATCCCCTATGTTGTCACCTGACTATCACTGAAGAAGGAAACATGTCAGGCATACTCACACACACGCACACACACACACACATATATGTATATATACATATACATACATACATATATACATACATACATATATACACACACACACACATATATATATATATATATATATTTCATTTTTTTCATAATCTCTCCTTGAGTTCTGGTTTTGCCTGGGGGCAGGAAGAGGGAAAATGTACAACCTCTAAAATGATCACCCTGGAAGTTGTCCTAGCGGATGATACAGAGATTCGATGAACCACAGCAGTGAAGTCTTGCTGGGGCACAGCCATCCTGGGTGACCCCCCCAGCTCAAGTATGCCCTTCCTCCGGCACCTTCCAGGAAACTGTGGAGGCTTCACACACCTTCTACATGCTTAGCAGAAAATACGCTTCCAGCAAAAGCACTAAAATGCATTTGGTTTTTAAAGGTATTTTTGTTTGGGGTGGCATAGCCTGGGACACAGAATTTAAGTGAGATGTTTTTAATTTTTCCTCCTTCTTAACCTTAGTGAGATGTTTGAACTTCTTTAGGTTTGTAGAGTGCATGGCAACAGTTCCTGGACTGTTTAAAATGTGTTTGCTTATTTTTGAAGAAAGAGTAGAAGCACCTGATAAGAGTAGTGATAACAGGGAACCCTGTTTATGTAGCATTATTCTAAGTGCTTTCTATGTGACTCATTTGAACTATGTCCTCTTTATGACGTGGTTTCAAGTAAACATAAACTTATGCTTGCTAACTAGTTTCAAACTATTAGCAGTAATTCTGCACATATTTTAGTATTCTCAAGTCTGATAAAGAGCCATTTCATAAGATACAGCCCAGGTAGATGAATAGTCTAGTCCTTTACTGAGATACCTTTTACAGGTTTTCATAATTTAAACTATTTTTGAAATTATAACTTAAAGGAATTTTTATAAGCGCTTAGATATAATAGTACAACTGCTTCTCCTGTTGAGTTTTACACTTGTTCATTAATGTATTTAATAAATATTTGCTTTGGGCCCACAAAATAAGAAGATGAATAAGATTCAGCTGTGCTTTGGAACTAGCAAGGAAGAGAAATATATTAACAGATCATTGCAATATCATGTACAAGCATGTATATATGAATGATGAAAGAGGTAGGAATGAATAATCTTAAAGGAATTCAGAAGTGTGAACAACTAACATTATCAAAGAGGAAACTTTGAGCTGGGTTTTAAAGAATGAATAGGAGTTTTCCACATGGCAAATGGGAGACTACTTATCTGAGGCAAATATAACTGCATTTTAATTCATAATGTATAGTACGTAATTGTATTTTTATGTTATTAATAACCCTGTTTATAAGGGAGAAGGAGCAGTGGGGGAAGTACATCAAGGGAAATTGGGTGTGAAGTCCTTTCCATGGGTCCTTGTGAGGCTGGTCATTTGACCCTGGACTTTAGTGACCTCAAATGTTATGTGGCTGGAAGCTCAGAGTCATCCAGATATCCTCTGTACAGATTCTTCATGGAAGTTATGGGTCCCAGTTATTGAAAATGAGTAGATACAATGCCTGGTGGCAATAATTTTTCTAAGCTTTAACATATTTCTGTTTAAGGTTTGTTCGTCCTCCATTAATCATTTTCTCTGTGGATGGCTTCCGGGCATCCTACATGAAGAAAGGGAGCAAGGTCATGCCTAACATTGAAAAACTAAGTAAGTGATTTCCTGACTGCCTGGTCTCATCTGTAAGCCAGGATCTCTGCAGTACCAGTTCTGCTATGGGGTTTGAGGTCTATGCACGCATTGTTTTTGAATGTATTTTATTATCTGAAATAAGAAAATGAAAGTAACACCACGTGTCTTGTCTGTAAAGTGAATTTTACATGAAGTGATTCCTGTTGGTTCTGTTATCCTAATATCTGAAATTCTCTTTCTAGGGTCCTGTGGGACACATTCTCCCTACATGAGGCCTGTGTACCCAACAAAAACCTTTCCTAACTTATACACTTTGGCCACCGTAAGTGTTTTCTCGAATGATACGTATTCAAAGGTCTGATTTAATCCTGGAATGACTTCAAGGGGAGATTTTTTAAACATGTTCCTTAGTGTTCAAAGACAGTCTCTCTGTTTTTCATCTTATCGGCCTCAGTAATTCACAGCAAATGCCTTTTACAACTTGGTAGAGGCCTGAGCTTCATTGCAACTTTAAAACTAAAGTCTTTCTTCAGGCACAGTTCAGTCTGAATACAAGCATTACATTTCCCTCAAATACCTGAGAGTTGGTCATTTATTTTTTGGATTTGCAAATAAAAATCTTGATTTCAGATGTTCTAATTTTCAGATACTCCAAATTCTCTTTTTTTAATATACAATTTACTTATTATTTTATTATTACTGCTTTTTTTTATTGTTGACTTGGGGGGAAATAGAACTAAGAAAAATAGAAAAGAATATTTAGAAATTGAAATTCTTTGGAGGCACATGTGTAAATTTCAAATAAAGTAATAGAAATTATATCAAGTTCTAATAGTTAAAACTCTAGATATTAAAATTCTTGTAGTCATGTTGTTTCTCAAATGGCTAATAATTAGCCTTGATGCATGTTTGTTCAGGCAGACACACAGTAAAGGCTATGTGTATCTTATATGATTTTGGAAATTAAATATTGTTATAAAACCTTCTGTGATAAGAAAACTCATAATAGAACTCATATATGTAGATTATTGTATTATTGTTTTAACAATACATTTGCTTTTATACAAAGGGTCTGTATCCAGAATCTCATGGAATTGTTGGCAATTCAATGTATGATCCTGTATTTGATGCCACTTTCCATCTTCGAGGGCGAGAGAAATTTAATCATAGATGGTGGGGAGGTCAACCAGTAAGTTTTGCATTTTGTTTTTTGGTGTGTGCAAATGGAATTATTTCATCCCTAAATTTGTTACCTGAGAAAAAGATATGTCCTCATACTTGTCAATGTTTGTTTTTTGATATTATGTATAATGTATATACATGTATGTATATATCATATATTTATATATGTGTATATGCATATACATTTGGAGTATAATATACATTCATTTCTATATAACATGTGTATGTGCATTTGTATGTATATGTGTGAAGTTATGATTCTAAAAGTGTGAATGATGAAAAGTCTTCGATAGGATAATAATGGAAATGGTGCCATGAATTGAATTTCAGAAGCATTTTGAAGAAGGACTGAATAGTCAGATCTTAATGATTTACCAGAGTTGGAGATACAATGGGAAAGAAAAATGAATGGTTATGACTTCCCTGTTATTTTAAACCCAGTTCCATAATAAACAGAATCAGGGAAAGTTGATGGGAAAAAAAGGAATTCACTGAAGCCCATTGTAAATTCATGCATTCTTTTATTTAATCTATTTTTTAAATCATGGAAGTGAAAAATTATAAGTGGAATCCTATCTTATACTGAGACAGCAAATTAAAACGTTGGAAGAAGTTCCCTTGTTTAGATTAAGTGGCTGAGCAAAAAATGAAATGGGCTGTTGGTGCTTTGACCTAATGTTTTCCCTGTGACAGTGCATATGATGGGCAAGTTGCTTTGCTCAGACACAGGCAAAGCAGCAACATAAAGCCATGGTTGTGGAATGTGCAGAACTGGGCTCTGGTGTACCTGGTCAAAAGGATTGGAATCAACACCTAAGCCTGGGCATTGTACACAAACAGAGATGTGTCAAGGACACATGATCTTGTATTTGATGCCACTTTCCATCTTCGAGGACGAGAGAAATTTAATCATAGATGGTGGGGAGGTCAACCAGTAAGTTTTGCATTTTGTTTTTTGGTGTGGAGAGAATGGCTCCATCTCATGCCGACTCCCATTTGGGGTAGTGGCTCCCTGGAACACAAGCCGGGGAAGAGTCTGGGAGATTTCGTGCAGTCTATTAAGGCATGAGGGGTGGATGGGGTCTGCACTCATCCTGTGTGTCCACAATGCCCTGAGGACTGAACCTGGAAAGCTTGCTGTGATCCACTGGCAGAATATGGAGCATAAACAGAAATTGTGTTCTTGAGGTAGTCATTTGAAAAAAAGTCATCTGTGATCAAAACATCACGTTGTTAAATAGATATATACTATGTAAGAACAAATGTGGACTTTTTGTGCTTTAAATTAATATTGGAAGACTTCTTCTCTATCTGCAGGAAATAATAGAAGTTCTGATCTTGCTCTTTATTGGGGTTGGACTCCCAGAAGTCTGTGATGACCCATATTGTGATCTAATGATATCTATTGACAGAATGGATTCCACAGTTTATGGCAGAGCAATAGTTTATGAGTAAATTGAATGATGGAAATTATAGCTCTGTTTACCTGTTGCTAGTTGGTCTCTTGTAATAATTTTATCATGGAAGTCAACTTGTCTGAGTGATAACAAAGGATATAAATAGTAATTTTATCTAATTGGATCACCTTACACTTGGTGTTGACACTAGGTTTCCTTGCAGTTAGCGATGACTCAGAAGCAGAAGAGTCCAGTTAACTGGTGCAGACACAGGTCAGGGGAAGCCGTTAACCTCTCCCCAGGAGTAGTCTCTCTCTCAGCACTAGCTGCTCATTTCCCCCCTAACTCTCAAACTCTCAGTCTAAGACTGACTGAGAGCTACAGTGAAACCAATCTGTGTTTCCATCTACCATCTTGTGCAAGATGGGCAACACAGGAATTCTAAGGACCATCATAGTTATAATTTAACAACACATTGTTGTCTTGAAATTTGATCTATTGTGGAGTGTATAGACAGGAACTATAAGAGATTTCAGCCTAAGTATATGACTACATGAAACTATGAGTCCTATAAGAAAGAATAACTATTCCTCCACAAGCATTTATATAAACCTCTCAGATGCTTGTACCTTTCACAGAATTACTAGTGAAAAAATAATTGGAGTATAGAAAATATTCATCAAAATTTAGAAATGGTAATTAAATTAAATTTACTATTACTGAATGATGAAACCATGCAAGATAGTTGGCTTCATAATAAAGGGACCAGATTAAATGTTGAATAAGAGTGACATCCTTGTTTAAAACCCAGAAGATGAGATGAGGCATTTATATAGTGTCCATCTGAGATTTTGAATCTCTTCATTATTTTTCTTCCAAAAATAATTTGTATGATTTAATTTCATCTTAAAAAAAAAACACCCAAAACAAAAACCTCTGTTATAGCTACTTTAGCAAAGTCTGGTCTGCTTTTAACTTGCTAATCTTCAGAATGCACAATTAGGAGTTGTCACTTGCTGCATCAACATACATTTCTCACTTAATAGAGCTCATTGATTGTGTTTGTTTCTTTGAAAATTCTCTCTCCTGTAATTTCTGAATAAAGATAACTTGGTGGGATAGTTCCCAGCTCAGTCCAAATCTGGACCTTCAGCCTCGTGGAGAATGAAGGGGACTCCATGGGCCTGACTTAATGTGGAGATGTGAGCAACTAAATGTGGAGGATTCATGATCTGAGTCCTCCAAAGTCTTGATTTTCTGGGTGTTTTAAGAGGAGCAGGTGTATTCTTAATACTTTTTAAGTTGCTTGGCTTAGAAACTGCTTTTTCCCCGCATTGTTGGGGCAATGAAGAAGGGTTGCATATTCTAGAAAAAGACAGCAAAGAGAAGAATGAAAGAACAGGTGCGCATTTCCAGGCCAGAGGGGTTGGTTGATGGAAGGAGGCAGTGGTGCTCAGTTCTTCCAGGTTATCTGGGTAGAGGAAGATTTACATTCTGCTCAGAAACATGTTACCTTGTTAAAATTTTCTTGTTTCTTTTTCACATTCTACTACAGACCTATACCTTTTTTCTGTCTAATATATATATATATATATATATATATATATATATATATATATATGTATATGTATATATATATATATATTTATATATATATATATATTTTAAATTTTATTTTTTTTGTGGCTGTTGTTGCCCTGTGTTTGCTAAGCGTGCTCTACCACTGAGCTGCAGCCCAGGCAGGTATTTAGTTAGGATGAGCTTTGCTCAGTTACTCACCTTAAGGTAATTTTGTTGGGATTGGTTCCTTTGTCTAGCGACCTCTTAATTTACTTAAAACTTTCAGTTGTAGTATCTGTCCCTAGGAGCCTTCCCTGAGTTCCTTCAGCCCTGGCCAAGTGACTTGATCCTCCTTGAGGCTTTTATATATATTTTTTCCTATCATAAATTTGACCACCTCCTTGTGAAATTGGCTAATTCTACATCCGTTTTAGACTGTGGATTCCATGGGGATAGAGCCTGGTTTATTTTCTTTCTAGTTTGAAGACCTCATCCAGAGCCCGGTGTATTGAGGAGCTCTACTGCTGGATTTTGGATTGACCTGTTCTGCACTTCCTTCTGAGCAGCACACTAGTCCATAGTCTATTCTGCTGCACCCTTGACCCTTACATCCTTAGTTTGTTCTGATTCTCAATAATCTTATCTATTTTGCTGATGCCAGAGCCCTATCCACTCCTTTGATCTCTCAGAATTCTAGTTACTCTAGCTCTGTGATTTTGAATGCGAAGGAAAATTTCCTTGCATTGCTAAAAAACCACAATAGAAGTCTATGCTTTTAAAAATTATTTTTTGCTTCTTATCTTTTTCAAAACTTCTCCTCCCATAGCTGCATACTTTACTTAATTAGAAAAAGTGTTGAATTTTATATTTAGCCCACATCCTCAGTTCCAGTGGGGAAGCTTTATTTATTCCTGATAACATAGCAAGAAGATATGGTATTATTCCCATTTGTCCCCTTTTCAGAATATAGAATCTAGGGCACAAATACTACAGATAAAAAATGAGCATTGAAAGAAGCATTGAGATTAAAGGCAGGAAACCTGCACCCAGTGCCTTCTTAGATTATGTTTTTAGCTGTGTGTGTGTTTTTTTTAAACAACTTCTGAGGGAATTTATATTTGCATTCAAGTTCAGAGAAATTTTGACTAATATTTCTCTGAATTAATAAGGAAGCTTCTCTTTTTGATAGCCCTGGAGGGTTGTTTTCACTTTTCTTCTTTTGGACCAACGTTTTAATGCCTTTTTCCCTTGGTAATTTCTAGATTTAACTTCTGAGCCCTGAAATGGAAAAAAATATATATTTTCCTTGTTAAAATTTTCTTGTTTCTTTTCCACGTTCTACTACAGACCTATACTTTTTTCTGTATACTTTCATACAGCTTGTGTCTGTATACACTCACACTTGGCCTGCAGAGGAACTTAAACAGAGACTTATGATATGACTTAAGAACTTCCTTTAGATTTCAGCCTTGCATCAATTGCTAAATCTTGACAGATCATGTTTATCAGGGCTGGGATTCTTTTATTTGAGGTTTTAAAATATACTTTTTAATTTCAAGTATTCTCTCTTATTTGTTGGCTTTTGTCCTCTTCTGACCACGCTTTCAATTTTCTGTTAGAAAATATTGTCAACGTGACATCAACAAAAAGCAGGGAGAATTTTTCTATTTCTTTTTTTCAGAAAAAAGACAATTTTGGTAGGGGGTGGCTACTGGGGGTTGAACGCAGGAGTGCTTTACCACTTAGCTACATCCCCAGCCATTTTTATTTTTGTTTTAAGACAGGATCTTGCTAAGCAGCTTAGGCTGGCCTTGAACTTGCACTCTTCCTGCCTCAGCCTCCTGAGTCATTGGGATTATAGTTACGCATCACCATTCTCAGAAGAAAGACAATTCTTGACCTTATATAGTCTTGATAATTCACATTTTAGAACCCTGATTATAAATGTTGTCAGTACAATTTTTGCAAAGTACAAAAAGTGTAGAGAATAAGTGATTCTGATTTTTGCCATTAGAATACTTTTTATTAGCATAAATAATTTCTTGTAAAATCCCTAATATTATTCATTAGTGGGCTTGACAGTTCATTCAGGAGTATTCTTAGATGGGAGTACTAGGAGGTAGGTGGTGTTATGAAATGTAGCTTGTGAAGACAGATGGCTTCCTTCTCAGTGATATGTGGTGAGGGCCATCACAATCATTTTAGCACACTTATTCTGCCATCTTCACATGCATGTGCATATTTTGAACACAGCAAAGACCCCTCTGGTGGTCTTTTTGTCCTGAGAGCACCTGAGCTAAGTTATTCCTAGGGCTTACTGTTGCCCAGATATTGCCAGTATCTGTATGTATCCTACAATATTATTTTGAAAAGCTTCAGTCATCTTTGATAAATTTGTATTAAAAATATTTTTTTCCTTTAGGAAACCCTAGATGGATCTTATATTTCATATATGTCAAAAATTGCCTGGTATAATTTCTTTCGAATTAGCAAGGCACTAGATTTTCTAGAAAGTGGTTTGGCTATAAATATACTAAGCTTGTGTCAGTGAAATTAATGTAAGTATATGAAAGTGGTCCTATAATATAAAAAACTGGACTTTCTGGGAACTTAGCACAATTTTGAGGCAGCTGCAGGGTGACCAGCACTTAGAGGTCATCTTCTTGTTTGTAGAGGTGTTGGGGCAAGAATGATTGAAAGTCCAGGATACATTTAGAACCCTGGTTGGGCCATGCTAGAGCTTGTTCAGAAAGTGGAAGGATGATCTGGACCAAATGGAGGAGTGGGCACTCAGACCCTGATCTCTGTACCCATCTCAAAGAACCAGAGGTCTCTGCCAACCAGGAACTATGGGAATGGGCTGAGGACCCCACCTCTCCCCTGCAGATGAAATCCACTAGCTACTCAGAGCTCTGTGGATCTAGAGGGCTACATATGCTCTCCCACCCCAGGCCTCCCTTGCCAGTTGCACTAGTTGTGATAGGGATTTCTAGATGCCCCTAACAATGTGTTTGCAGCTCTTATAGAGCTCTTCAAGTATCTCATACTCTTTTGAAACTGTGGCCAAACTCCTAGCTCCTAAAGGTTCTACGCCTTCTAGTTACATATTTCCACAGTGGGGCGGGGGAGGTTTTTATTGGTATCCTAAGATCCTCTCAAAGTCTGCATGTCATGAAACCAGAAAATGGACTGGCTGTAATTCCCACATCATTTTTGCTTTAGTCTCATAACAAACTAGTTTTCTCCCTTATTTGCCTCCACTCTTTTCCTCTCAGTGAGGGTTTTTGTTTTTTTTTTCTTTCCTCACGGACTTCTGTTCATTGGGACAGTCGCCATCCTAAGCTGTTTTTAATGTTCCTGGAAATAACTGGATGTCGTTTATTTCCATTATTGCATAATAATAAAGACTGAAATTGATCAAGTGCTTACCAAATGCTAAAACACCAGTTGAAGGGCTTTGAATGTATTAATTCTTTAAAGTGGAGAGTAATCCTGTGTGCAAGAAAACATCACCTCCACTGTGGCACAGAGAGGTCAAGTGACTTGCTGGAGGGCCATGTGGTGTGGTCTGGTAGTCACAGAAGCTAGGTTTAAAATCTTGGCTATCTGGTTGCAGAGCCTGGGTTCTGAATTCCATCTTTTGCCTCTCAACAGCACGAGTTATAAATATTTTCAAAGCCTTAATGAAAGGTTTAGTTCATCTAACGTATCCTAGGAACTTCTCCCTAAATCCCCGTTTATTAAAAGGCTAGGTAAAAGATATAAGAAAAATCCAAATTAAAAATTAGCCTTTCTTCCCCTTCTATTTCATCCACTTTAAAGTCAAACAAGACAAACTAGGTTCCAAGATTCTGACATCTGGGTGCCAAATTGGGGCTCTCCTCTGTAAGGATTTCAATAGTAAAGGAAACATATGGTTCACTCCTGAGTCCTTTGATGAGCAGAATTCAGATGTATGAGAGAAATATTCAAAAACAATTATTGAAAAAGACAGGTACAGAAGAGAGAGACTTTTGAGTTGAAATAAAAGTTTAAAAAAAATGTCACTAGCATCATAGCAGAGCTTTTGAGAGTTTTCACAGAGAATGTATTGAATAACATTTATGGAAATAATGGTTCTGACTTCCAGATGTGAAAAAAAGATGGTTGCAAATAATGTGAAATTTATGGTGGGGTGTGAGTAGAGTATAAGATATCAGATCTAATATATTTTAAAAGTGTTTTTCTTTAACCAAAACCCAGATCATATTATAAGCCTCTTATATTTTCCTCATTAGCTATGGATTACAGCCACCAAGCAAGGGGTGAAAGCTGGAACATTCTTTTGGTCTGTGTAAGTTACCTTTATTTTGTCAATGTTTATAAAATTATAGTTATGATTCAGTTTACGAAACATTAATTTAGTCTTGATTTTATTTCCATAAAATATAAAAACGTCAAAATTTTACATATTTGTTGATACCTAGAAATATACCTCAATATCTTTTCCTGAGGTCCTTTTTTTTGTTCCTCTTCTCTCCTCCTTCTCTAACCTCTCTTCCGTATTCCTCCTTTTCCCTATCATTGAAGGAGAGAAGATTTTCTCTTCTTCTAGCCATCCATTTGCTCTTTCTACCCCGTCTTTAGAGGTTTTTGGTAACTTGCCACCTAGGGAATGTATATTTCTCTTAGAATATTTATTGCTGTGGTCTGCACTATCATTTTCTATAAACATATTTCAACGTGCTATATTTATTTTGGTTCACAACTTTAAAACTCTGGTGTGGTCTCAGACAGCTAGGGAGTTGATGAAGTGATCTAGAGATTGGGGATTCCAAACAAGAGATAGGGGAACCCTTTGTTTCACCCCACTTTTCCACTGAACTCCAAGATTTCTCTAATAAGAAAGTACTTCTCATCCCTGCAGAGGTGACGGGATTAGTAGTTGAAGTTTGTAAGCCTTAAGATGAAACTTACCTAATAAAATTGTCAACATGTTGATTATTTTCAAAGGCTTCTTAGTAAAAAGAGAAATCTGTTTCAACTTTCATGGGGATTTTGTTCCCACTGAGATGTTCTTTCCATCTTTTTTTTTTTTTTTTTTAACCTCCTAAAGCTATTTTCGTATTTGCCTCTTATACTTCAACAAAAATCTGACTATTATATAATAGTAGTGTGCTAAGAGCAATCACAGGTTCATATTAATCCAGAATGGTACCATATATATTCTCCAAGTCAGGAATAAAAGTAGCTTTTTCAGATTTGAAGGGCTAAATTGAAATTGAGTTGGGTGATTTAAAGCTAAGACAGAGTGTCTCTAAAAGTTTTTTTTTTTTTTAAGAGGTTTCTGAGTTGAGAAATAAGCATGGATATGTTAGAAAAGACACTGCTGAATGTAGGTGGGATGTTGATTTACCAATTTAATCATACACATTACATTTTTTTTAACCCTTGACTATCACTGATGCTTATAGAAGTGGTTTCTTTTGCTCTTCAACTCCTTGGCCTGTCAGAATGGAGGGGGAGCCAACAACATAATTAATACTTGGTCCCACCCTGCCCCCCTGGAAATGTTACACAGCTTCCTTGAAAAGGCCCAGTGTTCTGGTTTTGAATGACAATTTTCTCCACCCATTTGAAACCACTCATGAGAAGGTGGCTGTTGTGTGCTTCTTTGAAAGACATCTGTAGTTTTGCTTTGCCTCTCAGACAATTCTTTTATCTCTGTATCCTGGAAGTGACTTGGATTTACTTTTTTTCTCCTCATTTTTGAAGTTTTTTATAACCTTAAAAAAATCTGATCATACTTCCAATTATTTAAGGAAACACAGGTCAAGGAAATCTACACAAAGTACATTCTGCAAAATTTAAAATTTAAAACCAGATTCAAATCACAGGTTTAGACTTTGAGGCCATCTTTTTAATATGTTGTTCTACTGCAGGCTAGATGTATATTCTTGCTTTTTAAATGATAACATTTCATTCCAAAATCATCCTCAGTAGAAGTTCCATCATATTCTTTTATGTCAATTCATATTTAAAGGGAGTAATTCCCATTATGTATGTGTGTGTAGATTGGGTCTAATCCCAGCTCTGTTACTTACTGAGATTGCTGACCTGGGACAAATGGTGTTAATCTCTCAACTAATCAATGTTCTCATCTTTTTTTTTTTTTTTTCAATGTTCTCATCTCTAAATGGGTGTTGTAGTACTTTCATCACAGCATATTGTGAAGATAAAATGAATCAATATATTTAAAGTATAGAGAGAACAACCAATAAGCAGTATTTGTTTACTTATTTGCATTATCTCTTTCAACATTGACCAGACAATGTCTGTACATACCCTGAGGTATTTTGTTTCCCTTTACCCCTAAATACTTCTTCTAGTCCTCCAATGCTCCATTTTCATTTTTCTCCCTTGTCTGATCATGTCTCATGCACTTGGTTTCACAACACATTCTGAATCTATCAGGGATGTGAAGATAGGGATATGTACCCTGTTTTGCTTTCGGCTTGGTTTTTTGCTTCCCTTGGTCTAATTTATTTGCTGCCTCTGCATTGTATTTGAAACACAGTTAATGGCTAAGGATCATGTCTCTTTGGTCTGTGAGGTTATTTCAAAGTGATCATCTAAAACTCACAGGAAGCCACTTTGTCCAACTCATTTAAGAGGTTAGAATACAAAGTAAAGCCTAAAGTCGTTAAATGTTATCCCCAAAGTCATACCTGGGGTGGATACTCAGACCTCCAGAGTTTTCATCGAATGCTCCTAACACACACACACACACACACACACACACACAGAGTTGATAACTATTAGCTTATTTTCCCCAAGAAGAGGACAATGACACCTCCATAATAGGATTTTTGTGGGAGTGTCTATATCTTTATTATGTTTACACACACACCTGGGCCATAGTATTCCTTTAACAAACATTTCACAGATGAATGTATCATCTCTGTGGACCTATAAAACCAGTATGTAATGATAAAAGCTAACATTTCTCTAAACACTTTCTATGCCCCAGACATCATTTTAAGCACTTTTCTTGTCTTTTAGTCTTTACAATACCCTTATGAGTAGGTACTGCTACTATCATTTTACAGAGGCACCCAAAGATTAGGTAACCCACTGACATCTTAACTTGTAGGAGTCAGGATTTAAACTCACACATTTTGGCTTCTGAGCTGGTGTTTTTAATTTTCAATCTATTGTTGTTCAAGTACCCTGTCCAACAAGGGTGTTATAGGGTAAGCATTCTGAACTTGACAAAAAATTTCTAGTAAGCTGGTATTTTTCCATTAGCATTGGAAGTGGGTTCATCGGAGTCCATATTTGTGGCTTAACACCCATCACATAAAATAAAGCAGCTTTTAGGTAGAAAGTGAAATCAGGAAAAATGAAAAAGCTATGACACTGGCTTTTTTCTTTTTAAGTTAGGAAAGAATTCAAAATATGTAATCATAATTATTTTGTTCAGATAAAAAGGATTTCTAAAGCTGAAGAATTAAATTCCTTAAGTGATTAACCTGGCTTTGCTATGCCTATTTCTAATTCAATTATAAGATATAATAAACAGGGTCACATTTATTGAACAGCACTGTGATATATTTAAAGCAGGATTCATTTTATGATAAACATGATTTTCTGGTGTATATGATAGCTCTAGACAGAGAGGATGCCAGAAGAATGACAAATACCCAGAGGAGAGATGGGTGGAGCCGGTGGGGGAGTGTGGTGATCGTGGGGACAGGGAGCGGCTGCTGGCCCACAGCCTCTGCCAACTCTGCCTTCCACCATGGCTCTGAAGAGTTGTCTTTCTCCTAGCTTTCTTGCTCATGTCTACCAGGAGTGAAGTTTCAATGGTTCACCCAATGTTCCATAACAAATTTTCCTTACCACAATCAAACTTTAGTTTTCATCTGAATTCATCATGAACATGCTTCTAATGCCTGGTCTTGGTAGGGGAGTGAAAAGCATTTTGTGCTCCAGGTTAAGAAAGTAAGCAAATTTCCCCAGAAGCGAAGGGATGGCTCAGACATGAATATCCTAATGGAACTCGGCTCAAGATGCAGTGCTATCATGGTAGCCAAGAGCTCTTAAAGTTGGTGCCAGGCTTAGGTTAATTATATTTCAAAAGAGGAATGAGACTTAAACACAAAAGTCATTGTGGATGAAGATTATACCCTTTTTGTCAGTCTCATAATTATATGTGCCTATTCCTGATAGATTTTTATAGAGATGGAAGAGAATTTCAAGAATACCTTCCCTAACCCATTATTTTATAAAGGAGGAATTTAAAGTTTCAGGTTAGATAATGTTTTTAAAGTTATGTAACTATTTAGAGGCAGAATGATGACTAATTATGATCATTAATAAAAGAATGATTTTAGCACTTAACTGTGTACCAGGGACCCTGTGTCTTTTAGTTGCCTCGTATCACTTCATTCATAGAAACAAGCTGTGTGGTGTGCTTTGCTGTTATCTTTGTTTTACTGATGAGTTAACTGAGGCTGAGAGAGGTCAAGTGGCACAGAGGACAGGAGAGGTCATCCTGCTGGAAAGAGGCAAAGTGCGCATGGAAGTCCTGTTCCCTCCTCGGTCACTGCTGATGCCAAACCCACTGAACAACAATGATTCTGAAGCCATGGTCTTTTCTACTTGTAGCCGAGTTTTTCATCAGCAAGACAGGTTCCTCATTGTGACCATGAATCAGAATTTCCAGTCTAGTCTTCTGTGGAAGAGGTTGAGCAATGTAATATGTTACAAATGGAAATGGAAGTTTAAATGCTAATTCCAAAGAGGGCCTTTTTACTACAACGAAGTGAAAACAGATGGTGGCAAATAGAGAGCATTTGGCCTGGGTGCAAGAGCCAGGGCTCACAGACTTGAGTCTGTGGAAAGACACCTACCAACATGTTTTGCTGGTTATCCCCTACAGGGCCATCCCCCATGAGCGGAGAATATTGACCATCCTGCAGTGGCTCACCCTGCCAGATGACGAGAGGTATTTGCTTTCCTCTGCCCTTCTCTCTTCTTTCTTCAGTACATTTCCATCTTTGGTTAGACTTGGGTGAAATACTAGATGGACTGTGAAATAGAAGTGCAGCCAAAGATTGGTATTATTAAAAGTTTTGTGGTTATTAGCCTTAAGCGTTATTTCCCTAAGAAGGATTTGGTGATTGGGGACCATTTAATTACATGGATTACTACAGCTCTTAATCCTGGCCACTACAGCAGAACCGAAGGGAGTTTCTGGCTTTGATAAATGAACTATCAGCTTCTCAAAGACCGAGAAGCACTAAGACCAACTTTGCACTTGAACAGAGGAATAAATCTTTTTGGCTGCAGATTGCATGGCCCATGTGAATTACCACTGGGCTCTATTATCTTGAGATTCTGAGTACATGCTCAGGGTTTCCTTTGTGACTTTTAATTTCTGAAAGTGGTACCAGGCAGTTACCACAGTGAGGGTGGTGTAGTGGGGTGGCGGGTGTTGGAGCATTAGGGGAAAAAAAAAAGTTTTTCCATGGTAATACTGACAGTGGTTGAGAGATTAACGAAACTTGAAGGATTTTTATTTTTTAAAGTGAGTAGGGATATTTGATATTCTTTGTTGTGTGTGGTTTGGGGAAATTATAAACCTTCCAATCTTCTCGTAGGCCTTCGGTCTATGCCTTCTACTCTGAACAACCTGATTTCTCTGGACACAAATACGGCCCTTTTGGCCCTGAGGTTAGTAGTTTATCATCTGCTTGAGGGGAGTCTGTGCCCCTGGGCTACTTGACCTACTGACCGTATTTCAGGATTTGTACAGTCTTTGGGAGCGTTTGTAATCTACAAGGTTTATTCAGAATTACAAGACTAAAACATTTTAAAAAATCTTAAATATACTTGTTTCTCTTACAGGAACTACATTTCAGATTCCTTTGATATTGAAACATATCCTAAACTTGATGCTAATGGGAATGGGGTGTATTGCAAGCTTGCAGGTATCAGTTACCATGTGAAGAATTGGGAAGGGTTGGCACCAGCCACCATCGGAAAGGAGTGGAAAGGCATATGGGGATGAAACCTCCAGTATGCAACATTACAACTGAATTTTAACACCTTTAAAATGAGTATGCTGTTCAAAGAGGGTAGGTCAGTTAAGTAGCTCTGATAGCTTTAGCAAGTATAGCCATCCTGGTAGTTTATAGTGTTGGATGCTTTTTATTTGGTACATTTTGACAATTGGTATTTATACTGTGAATCCATCACCACATTCAAGGGTGTGTACATATCCATCATCCCCCGAAGGTTAAATTAATTCTTAAATGAGAGGAACATGCTACCCAATGAATCTGTTCAGCAGAGCTGTGAGGTACCCTTTATCAAGTGCTCAGTCATCTTAGAAGACAGTCTGTTTGTAAGGTAGGAGCCAGTAAAACTTCAAATTCAGAAGATGGGGAAGAGGAATAGCTTTGTTTTGTTATGTTCCTTTTTCATCCAGGCTGGAATCCTCCCAATATTTCAGCAAAGATCATTTTAAAACACGAAGTCTGCAAATCTAAACCTTTTCATATTTTAAATGTCTTTAGCATTTCTTTCCTAACAGGGGTGATATGTCTACATGAACATAGTAAAATTTGATTCCAGCTGAAAAATTGTTTTAAAAACTCTTTGAAGGAAACTGCCTCTAATTCTCTACTAGCCTATGACAACTGTTGCCTATAATTAAATTCACTGGGTTCAGTATAAGGCTGAGTTGGAGATACAGATAGATGTATCTTAGCTTAAGTAGTTTCGAACAAATTGCAGCCTGTCTAAATAAAGGCAGTAAATACCAAGAAGTTATAAGTATGTTTGAATGTTCAATTATCCATCAGTTCAGTGGTCAGTGATTTTTTTTTTTTCTTTAAACATTAGAAACTAACTGCTATGTGAAACCATTCTTTGTCTTAAATCACAGAAGTCATATAAATCTGGTGTTCTTTTTCTGTTCCTTTGATGTTTAATCAGTTTTGCATGATTATGAAACACAACTGATAAAACAAGATAAACATCTGCATACATGAAACACAAATCTTATTTTGCAAGGAAAGAAAAAGAATGGTTGTTTTATCTTTAGGATGAGTTTCTTTGAGATTAATCTAAAGTGAATAAAAGGAACCACATTTTATTAAAATGTTAAAAAAAAAAACCCTTACGAAACACCTAAGCAGTTCCATGTGCTCTATGTAAAGTTCAACTTTGCTTGAATATTATCCCTTAAAAGACCCCAAGGGTAGGTAGAACAGAGATTTGGGTATAGCTACTCTTTTAAAAGTAGGAGACTGGTATTGGAAGAACTTTGGGCTGCTCAAGTGGCTTCACAGGTAAGTGGAGAACCTGGAGACAGATCCTCAGAACTTCTGGCTCCCATACCACGACCTTCCTGTGGAAACTTTTTTTTTTTGTACTGGGGATTGAACTCAGGGGCACTCGACCACTGAGCCATATCCCCAGCCCAATTTTGTATTTTATTTAGGGACAGGGTGTCACTAAGTTGCTTAGTGCCTTGCTTTTGATGAGGCTGGCTTTGAACTTGCGATCCTCCTGTCTCAGCCTCCTGAGCTGCTGGGATTACAGGTGTGCGCCACCGTGCCCAGCTTCATGGAAACATTTAATGCTCTTTCAGTCCAGGGAACCAGCAAAGTGGTCTGTTAATAAGTGTGTTCAAATCACACAGGGTATTTTCTTTAATTCAGATGTTGGCTTTTAACAGTACAGATGAGGTATCACTCATTTTATACTTTAGGTTGTGTAGTTTAACAAGAACTGTTCTTTACCCATGAATATCTTTAGAATTCTAACATGTACTTCAGTTACAATTACCTATTGAAAGTAGATATGTCTGTGTTTTAATTAAGAAACAAACATTTTAAGTTCTGAGCAATGAATGAATGAAGTGTGATACAGAATGCTTTAATTTGCTGTAAAGATGGTTTCTATGTCCAGGAGTGCTCATTAATATACAAATGGATCTTTTCCTAAAGTATTTTTGAATTAAAAGTTAGAACTCTTCATGTTATGTTCTTTTTAGCACTAATATTTGCAGATGGGTGTTTCCTCATATACCTACTGAGTAAATACTCTTAATTGGATAATTTAGATGATCTCTTCAGTAATGGTAATCTGATCACCTGGTTGATTTTTCTGATAAAGGAGGGAGTATTTTCAGGTTTCAACTATTTCTCATATGGTTCTAGGAATCTTATTCTAACTAAAAACAAGACGAAACAAAACAGTTTACACTTTTAAACACAAAACCAAAGCAAGTGAGCAAAATCTTTCTTTGGGCATGGACTAATTGGCTTATATTCCTATGTGTCCTATATGCAGATTAATACATAGATATCCCTATATATCATTGTATACTTTTATGGGACATGAAAAGACTATACACTTGAAAGACTACTTTTCAAACCAATAGCATGCTATCCTTGACATATGAGAAAATAACTTGCATTTGAAATTTAATTGAAATGATTCTAACAGAATGTTGTATGCTACAATAAGATGAACTCAATTGGAGTTTGTGCTTGAGTACCCTTTTCAGGATGATTCTCAAAGGTATTATTAAGATGACCAAACACTGGGCTAATGGCATTCAGAAATGGTGTATTGCTCCTGGTTTCATAGTGTAATGGTGAATGTTCAAACATAAGCTTGCTTTGGATTATTGGCGCAACCTTTTTCTCTTAAATCTTGTATGCCTTTTCTGTGACCTCTCGTTGGGCTGCTCCTCCAGACCTAGAGGCAGAGCTTTGGCTGGCTAGTCCCTACCTTCAGATGGCAACATATCCTTCTGAAAAGCAGGGAAATTTGCCCCTCTCCTTCCCATCCTCCTAATAACCTCAGGCTAAAACTTCTAAATCAGGCTACAGTATGGCTGGTGAGTGAAAACTTAGCTTTCATCTCCCTCTAACATTTGAAGAAGGAAATACATGCACTGTAATCCCTGGATGAAAACTCAGTTTGACTAAACCCTACTTCTCCTGCTCCTCTAACCTGCTGCAATCGGAAGGGCTCACCTTGGGAGTCTTTGGAATGTTGAAGTCTCTTGCAAGTGGCCTGGTGTTTGATGGGCAGATTTGAGTGCTAGCAGAATGTACTTGGTGATCATGAAATGGAAAATCCTTCTTTTCCTTTTCTTGCTCTTCTTGTGGAGATTTGCCTAAAATTAGAGGCATTAAACCAAACCAAATCCAAGTCTCTGGGGCTGTGTCTTTAGATCGCTTTGCCGGAGAAAGAGGTTGAGACAGAAACAGAAGAGCCCTTGCAGTCGCTTGCCCTGGAAACCGTGAGAGCGCATGGCAGATGTTCTCCTTCTTGGATACACTAACACTGTTCCTCCTCCTGCCCCTTCCTGCATCTGAATGGCTCTTGGAACAGTCCTGCCAGGAGAGAAGTTAGCTACGTAGACAGCAGAGCTTGCTGCTTTAATTCACCTTTGCACCATCAGCAAATCAGGGGCCTATTTTTCTCCAGCATTTGGAGGTCCCAAAAGGTTTACTCAGTTTAAGTATCAGACTTCACTGTTCTCTGGAGTTTGAAACAAAATCTGTAGCACTGCCACCCTCCCAATCAGGGGAGGAGGTAAGGGACAGCAAAGATGTAAATAAAGCCATTCTGGCTCTGTAGACCAAGACGAGGAAATCTTGATGAATTGTCACATTTTATCTAATTTTCAAAGAGCATTTCTAAAAATACAGTATTATTCATGTCAAGTTCCTCTGTACCGGAAACTTTGGTTGTCAGTGAGAGGTTCTCTCTCCTGCCGGAAGTCCCGATGTGTCAGATGTATTCAGGACCAAGGAGTTGTTCATGCTTCATTCCATCCTTGGGTTAAAAAATTTCCATGATCCTTGCCAATGAAGGTGACAGTGCTGTGACCAATTTAGTGGCATGACAGTTAGATACTCATGCTTCTCTGAACTGGAACCACCTACATGAATTGTATTCCCATCTTGAGATGGCCAAGTGACTAGTCTTCTCTCTGGTGGTAAACTAGTACTTTATTAATGTAGAGCTTTTTGTAACCAAGGATCAGCCTCTCCCTAATGCAGGAGTGCTGCGTTACAGGACTTCTCTAATGTCACCTTTGGGTGTATCTATGAGCAAGCTTGTCAGCTAAAAGAAGCCCATGTGACTAGATTGTCTTAAATTACATTCTTGTTCCCAGCAAAGAAGCTGAGACAACAGCTTCAAGACCCGCTTAGGAGGCTTCTCTCCAGAGAGGTCCTTGAATCACCTGTCCTACCCATGTGTTCTCACTTAAGCAGCCTTAGTCTTTCTAAGTCTCTGCTGACCCCAGACGGAAAAGGTGAGCTTTATCATCTGACCCAGAGGGACAGACGGCCTCTGAGTGCAGACATCTCTATCCGCCAGTACAGGAGAGTAGTTATGGCCCATCTCTTACTCCGGCTAAGAGACCTAAGAGGAAAGTTGCCCCTAAGAGGAGACAGGAAAGACCCGTTGCTCCTCCAAAGAAAAGAAGAAGAAAATTACATAGGATGGATCATTATGCAGCGGAAACTCGTCAGGACAAAGTAAGTTTATCTATTGTTCCAAAGCTTTGTGGCGGGCACGTCTGAGTTGAAGGTTTCCTCCAGTGCTTCGGTTCGAAAATTGGCTGGATACACGTTTTAGAAAAACTCTGGTGCAATGTCCTTGGCTTGGAGTCCAGAAGAATCTGGTACTTCAAAGGTGAACACTGATATGAAGACTTCCTGAACTTTTGCATGACAGAAAAAAAAAAAGGAGTCTTTTACTTTATTTAGGGTTCATTGTCCCTAAACTGGCATTAACATTGAGGCTGGAGTGACTGTCCAGAGGGCTATTGGTTTTGCTTGCACTTATGCACAGAATTAGTCAATGGTTTGTGACCTTGGTTCTTGAGAATGACCCCACAAGGTAGCAGGAGGAGTTGGCAAAAACTATGTAGATTAGAATTCAATAGAAAGTTGACTTAGATTCGTGGTCTGTACTCTCAGAGATCAGAAACAATCTTACAGTATGGGCAAGGCAAAAACTGAGATAGAATGAAAGAAAAAAACAATGGGCAGAGTCGTGTGTTTTCTCATAATGACGTGAGTAATATTTACTTGTCCTGGTACACTCAGAAGAGCCTATGGTTACTACTTACCTGAAACCTTCAAATACTTATGAGGCAATCTCTTATTTATAGTTGTCTGAACAGATCAGAAACTAAGAAGTAGTCTCTGGATTTTACCTGAATTGTCTTGATGACTCAAGGAAAACAAGACATTGCCAAGGACTGACATATGTTATGCATTTGGTATTTCTTTATCCAGACAAGGATCTTGGAGGAGAGTGTGCTTTTCTCAGAAGCAAGTGCCACTTAGCCCCCCATCTGTTAGTCCCTTCACATTCCATTGCTCATCTCTTTCTGAAACTTTCAGTTCTAACTTATTCCTTGGGATAGGATTTGAAATACTAATGCCTCCTATGAAGGAAAAAGGTCTATACCTAATTTCACTGATGAAACAATAGGAGGAAAGTTCTTGAATCATCTGTGAAGGTGCCAGTGGAAGATAACATTATGTGTTTGAGTAATAATGATATTCAGATCTATTCTGATCTTATCCTGGTTATCTTAGGTAGATGTGTGTGATTGCCAGCTAAACTGCAAACTTCATCTAGAGTACTCTCAAGGGTTTGTCTGATGTGAAGTTTCATATAAGAATCTTTTCATTGCATAGAGATGAGATTGAGAAGGGAGACCTGTAGTGTGTGGGAGTGCTTGAGTTGTTAGACTTCCATCTGAAGAAAAATATGAGATGATTATGTTTCCTAGGCTTTGTAAATGTTCTTCAGAGAAGAAGTGAGTTTTTGTATTAGACTAAATAAGAAACGTTCTAGAACAAAATCTGGTTCATTTTTTTTCAGTTAGGGATCTTGTAAGTTCTCATTTCACTCAAAACCCGCTTGAAAAGAACTAATTGGAGGAACAGTAGCTTGTTTCTTAGAAAACTTCTTCCATTAATCTATTGCTTTTAGAAGCTGATAGTGGATATCTTTGGGACATGTGATGGGTCCCATTAGTGATGTTCTTATTTGTTACCCTATGGGAGCTTATAATTTCATGTAGCCACTCTGTTCTTGCCTAAGTTTGAAGCCTAATGCGATTTTACACAGGAGACAAGGGGCTTAAACCATCCACCCAACTTTCTGTTCACTCTCAAAACTCTTGAACTTAAAAGATGCTGTTGTTACATTCTAGAAAAGGCATTTTACAAAAAATTTCCTTTTCTCTAAAAGGAATTTAATATTTCTATTTTTATATCAAAGAATCTTGAAAAGAATTGGATGAAGAGAGTTATTAATTATCTTGAAAAAAATATGAAGTCCTTAGACCAGATTTCCATTAAAAATGGCAGGAAAATCTCCCCTTTAGACAAAGCTCTGCCACTGGGCCTGAAGTTTTCCTTCCAGAATGTTCTAAGGGTAGACGATCTATGGAAACTGAAAGGTTAAAAACCGAAACAACAAAAACAAAACCTGTGAGAACTAACTTGCTCTTTTTTCCAGATGACAAATCCTCTGAGGGAAATTGACAAAACTGTGGGACAGTTAATGGATGGACTGAAACAGCTCAAGCTGCATCGGTGTGTGAATGTCATCTTTGTTGGAGATCACGGTAAAGCTTTGTTTTTCTTTGCTAATAAGATAGATAAATAGATGCTTCTGAGGGTGTTAAGGAAAGGAACACTGGCACCCCCCCAGAATCCAAGTTTCTATTCTTCACCGCCTTTTCCTTTTCTTCAGGATAGGGAAAAAAATCAGGTCATGATTCCAAACAACCTGAGATGACCCTGGGTTCTTTTAAATCAAAATCAGGGTCTTCTATATCTTTCTATTCTTTGCAGGAGAGGCCTCTCTTCAAAATCTGTCTCTTAAGGCAGGTGATTCACTTGTGATATTAAGGACTTGCTCTGTGAATCTGGCACATCAGGTGATAATCTCCCATCCCTGTGAACCACATCCCCCAAAGGAGCCCACAGATTTTGGGTGGTTGAAATGTGCATGGGAATATGATAAGGAGGCAGAGAGACAGGGTCTTGTCAAAGAAGCCATGTACTACAAGTTCAGCCATTTCCCTAACTCACTGAAGAATTCAAAGCCAAAACCAGCACGCTCTGTTGCAGCAGCAGCAGCTCAAGGAGCAGTTTTCTAAACATTTTATAAAGTAGTAAAACTCATGACAGCTTCACTCTGAGGTGGAACCTTATAAACACAGTATGATGACAGGGCCTATGGGACATTTTTATTTCACAGACATGCACATTGAGTTCGAAAGAGTACCTCTTTCTTTCCTGAACTACCCAATTGAAATAATGACCTTGGAATTCCTAACTGCTCCCTTTTAATAGAGTTTGGAAGATGAAAAACTTCATTGACTCTTTGGCAGTTCTGTTGAGAATAGCTGGTGAATCTTCCTGGTCAAAGCTAGGCCTGAAATGTTCTAGAAGATCTCTGACAGACTGTGGGGACTAACTTGCTCCCCTGAGGGGGCTAACTGTTACCCCCTGTAAAATTATATTTTGTGAGTTTGGCTTAGTGGGGAGGATAGGACAGAGAATCTGGAGCATGTAACACAGCTGATTCAACTGAGTCGCCCAGATGTGTCAAGAGTATTTGCTCACATGCTGGAGGCAGGTGTCTAAGAAGTAGATTGTCCCAGTGAATCACATGCTGAAGCACTATAAAAGTCATGGACAGATTAAAACTTTTTCTCAGTGTGCAGGCTTCTAAGATGAGTAGATCCATTTGGTTTGGGGAAGCAATAGTCTCTCTCTCTCTCCAAAAAGGGAGTATGGTTTAGTGTTGTGGGGTGTGAGCTTTGAGGTCAGAATGAATTTCAGCAAAGCTCAAATTTCATCTTGCCACTATTTGATGCTATACAAGTTCTGGGGCCTCTTGAAGTGTGAGCTCGTCATCTGAAGATGGAGAACACTGACTCTACCCATGCCAAGTTGGTCTGGAGGTGGAACGTGTGGCAATGCCAGAGAAGCAAACTTGCCCTCTGAACTTTGAAAGCAAAGGAGGTCATGCACCCTGGGAGCGGCATCAGTGACTCCCTAGAATGTAACAAGTGGAAGACCCCTCCAGTCCTCCATTAATATCTTATTTGGAGACTTTCCTTCCCTGGGCTAAGATTGAGGTAGTTGAGGATTTTTTGCTTGTTTGCTTTAAAATTTTCTTCCTGAGAGTTTTGAGTGTTAAAGGAAATGATATATAACCCTTGTGCTATGTTGAGATTTGTTTTTCTCTCTTTCTTCCTTCCAATTTATATTTAAGAAAGGATACAGGATACGGATCTGGAATTACAGGAGGTTTTCATTTGAAATTTACCAGGTTTGGGCCACACTGGGCTTTATTTCTTTAGTTTAAAACCTTAGAGAGGGGCTGGGGTTGTAGCTCAGTGGTAGAGGGCTCGCCTAGCACATATGAGGCACTACGTTTGATTCTCAGCATCACATAAAAATAAATAAATAAAATAAAGGTATTGTGTCCATCTATAACTAAAAAAAATTCAAAAATAAAAATAAATAAAATAAAACCTTAGGAAGCCTTTACGGAATCACCTATTTCCCTCTTAGAGAATATGCATTTCATGGATTGTGTAAAGCAATCAAGTAGTCTCCCCTTATCCAAGGAAAGTATGTTCCAAGACCCCAAGTGGATATCTAAGACTGTGAATAGTACAAAACCCTGTATATGTCATGCTTTGTAGCAGCCAGTGATACATATATAATTACAATAAAGTTTAGTTTATATATTAGACACAATAAGAAATTAACAATAAAAACTAGTAATAAAATACAACAACTAGGAGAATACACTGTAATAAAATTTATATGAATGTTGCCTCTTTCTTTCAACTAGTATGGGGTGGAGAGCATATACAATGTGGATACGCTCGGACAAAGGGATGATTCGTGTCCTGGGCAGTTTAGAGCAGGAAGGCATGAGATTTCATCATTGCATTCAGAATGGCAATTTAAAATTTACAAATTGTTTACTTTTGGAATTTTCCATTAATATTTTTGGACTATTATTTACCATGGGTAACAGAAACCATGGAAAGCAAAACTGGATGTGGAGGGACTACTGTCTATTAAACCTTCATGAAATTTCCATGTCATCTTATAAATTCCCAAAAGACAAATAAAGGTCTCTACTAGATGCCTTCAGCTTATGATTCCACGTTTGTTTTTATTATTTTTAAAATATTGATCAAGAATCTTTCCTTGATGGAGGGACGAAAAGAAATTTTGAGGTGGGAGAAAGAACATTGTTTGGTTAAAAACAATTCCTTATCTAGACCCTTTCTGTGCCCTAGTTGCTAGTTTTCGGTTCTAATTACACTGTTTACAACTTGTTTTCAGCATTATTTTGTTTTTCAGTTTGGGTGGTCATTTGAGCTGACATTTTCCTTTCTCATCTCTTGTTGCCAGTATTGTTTTGTCAGTAACATCCAAGGGAGACAGAGTGAGGGCTGGTGATTATGTGCTTAAGATAGCAGATGCATGAGAGAGGGGGATGGGGAGGGTGAGGCAGAGAGAGGGGGGAGGGGGAGGGGGGGAGGAAGGGAGACTGAGGGGGGTGAGGGGTGGGGAGTGAGCTGGAGAAAGACATTTGGTAAAAGAGACACAGAACTGTGTATTCCAGTTATTTATACCACCCCCAGCTGGGAAGAGTTTGAAGAAATCTATGTATATATTTTAAGAACAGATCTTTTTCATAATGACTTTAAATTGTTTGTTTTTTAAAAACATGATTAGTTCCTTTGTCTTGATGTTCTTGCTCAATGACTTAAATGATTACTGAGATGATGCATTTTCAACCTTCTGGTGCTTGCAAGATGATATGGCTAAATCAAAGTCCAGTGAAAGGTTACACAGAGAGCCATTGAAAAGTTGAAAGTCAGCTTCAGGATCTCAACTGTGAGGGTTCCTCCCATTAAGAACTAAATAAAGTGAGGCTTGGATGTCATCTTGTGAGTCTTGTGTGACACTTTTAAGATTTTAGTTTTAATATTGCCTGAAAATGCTTTTCCCCCCTTGCTTATAGGTATGGAAGATGTTACATGTGATAGAACTGAGTTCCTGAGTAATTACCTGACCAATGTGGATGATATTACTCTAGTGCCTGGAACTCTAGGAAGAATTCGATCCAAATTTAGCAACAATGCTAAATGTAAGTTGATTCTTAAAATCCGTGGTTAGAGTGATAATACAGTGGACTGGGTAAAGGTTTGTTTTCTGGAGCTGGAACACTTTGGCAAAAATCCTAGCTCTGCTCCTGCTTAGCTGAGTGACCTTGAGTAAGTCATTTAAACCCTGAACCTCAGTTTTTTTTCCTCTGATATGGGGAAAATGGGGATGATAAATGACAGTAGCTATTTACAGAGTTGTGGTAATTAATCTATGTATATTGTCCAGAGTAGTTCCTGGCACAGACTAGTATTATGTAAATATTTACTCTTATTTTTATCATGTAGAAATGTAACTTAATTTGAGGCATGTTTATAACCATAACTTTCTGTTTACAAGAGAAGAGTTTTTCAGCATTAAGTTCAGGCTAGTTCCTTTGCTAAAACTAGAGTCTAAAGAGAATCACTTTTGGACACTGAAAGTTTCTAGCCACGTGGAAAGGGGCTCTTCCCCTTTGTCAAATTGATTGGTGGTACCCAGGAGGGAAGAATATTAAGCCCTCGGAATTGGCAACTGTTTTGAAAGATTGGCAGTGAAATTAACAGGAATAATCTTGTCACGTGGGCTTTACATGTCAAGTGATGATATGCCACTAAAGACTTTTAAATTTGTGCACTAAGACATTTAGGTGCTGCCCACCTAGGTTTTGAGAAGTCTATAGTTTTATTGGAGACATGGCTCATTTTGAAAAAAGAACATTTTTGGAGTTTTTAAGCCTTGGTAATAAGAAACCACTGACACCAAGGTTAAAGTTTTAGAAAATTAAATGTTTTTTTCCCAAATTATGTTCCTGAGTCAACACATTTGGGAAATTTCCAAGGTCAGTTCCAAGCAAGGTTGTGAAATAAACAACTCATTGGTGTTTCTTGCTTCTTCTTTCCTTGTCCTTTCCTGTCCCACACAGCCTCCTGTCTTTGCTCACTTGAGATAGGTGGGCTGTTGGTATAGACTAGATGCAAGCAGTTCGAGTACCTCTTGAATTTAGTATTTGCATTTTGCTTAGGTAAGAAAGAGTATGTCTGTTTTAAAAGATATTTTTAATATCTGAAAATGTAATAGGGAGGTTGTTTAGGGGAAGGAGGGACTTTCCTTGGGAAGTGTGAAATCATAACTATCCAAAATGAAATGCTTTACACTCTACAAAACATTATCATATGTGACTTCATTGGGAGAGACAGGAAAGCAGAGTAGCAAAAGGCAAAAATGGTGTCCACATGTCCAGGTTCAAACCTTAGCTCTGCCAGGAACTCACTGGGTAATGTCGGACAAGCTCCTTTAACACTCTGTGCCTTGGCTTTCTGATCTGTAAATTACAGATTGTGGGAAAGACTAAATGAGACATTATGTATATATAACTGACACTGGTGTAACGTGCACTAGCAAATTGTCAAAGCTAAGGAAGGGTTAATCATGATGGTGGTTTGATTGCATCCTTATTTTAGCTGAATATGTACACAATTTTATTTAATCCTTTTAATAGTCCTGTGTGATATGTATTATTATCTTCTTTGTAGGCAGTACAAGTGAATGATCAGAGAGGGGTGAAGGAGCTGGCTCAGAGGACAGTTAGTGGCAAGCTGTGACAGAAACCCAGATTTGCCTATTCTTAATCACTACTCTTTGTTCACACAAGTGGGACTTGGTGGCATACAAAGATGAGGAGGTCAGGATTGAAGGACTGGTGTCTCAAACATGGACTTGGGCATTTGTTATTTTCTAGTAATTCTCTGGAATGTATCTGAGTACAATATTGCCCCATGCTATTTATTTCTCTTCATTATCAAAGAACATGAACTTTCTCTGGCCTCTTTGAGGACTATGGTTTGTGAGGCTCAAAAGTGTAGAGGTTTAAGGATGGCTTTGTCAATCTGGCTGCCTGGGCATCCGAGTGTGCAGCCTTCTCTACCTTCCAAAGCTGGTTGGCTTAGTGAGGATCTGAAAGCATCTCCCTCCTGGGGTGATTATGGACAACCAGAGAGAAAGAAAGCCCTTCCAAAGCTCTTCTAGAGTGACAGGCACGTGGTATGAACTCAAGTTGGGTTAGCCATTATTGTTATCATTTTCACTTTCCATTAAAAGATGCAACTAAAATTTAACCCCGATTTAAATAGGATGGACAGCACATTTTAGTTTTGGATTCATAGCTTTAGAACAAAGATTCCGAAAGTGGTTTTTGAAGTGTGTATATTTATACTTCAAGGCAACATGTATTTCCGGCAATATGAACAGACATATATTAATATTTATTAATAAATATTTACTGAGTGCCTACTGTGTACCAGGCTCTAGGGATTGCAGCAGCAAGTGATACACACACTGACATTTAGATGGCAGGGATAGCTACACCGTGACAGTGGGTATCTCTCCTGAATGCTGCCTTCCTTTTTTTGCTGATTCTATAATGACATACTACACCAAATTTTTGGAAAACAAAACAAAATCCAAACAACCTACAATCTCCTCTTTCTCCCCACAATCCCCCCAAAAGAGGACATTCAGATAATATAATCCTGTTTATACACAGCCATCATTTACATAGTTTTGCTTTTAGCTGGTTCAGAGTATTGACTAAAATAGCCTTTGTTTGCTGGTAATGAAAAACAAGAAGATGCGTATGTGTGTGCCCATAACCGGAAAGAAACAGCCCCTATGTAATTAGGCTCATAATATTACCATGAAAACAAAATTCCCTTTAAATATATAACTCAATGGATCAGAAGATTCATTTTAAACAGAGTGATGACTTGTTTCAAAGACCTGCAGATAAATAGGAAGTTGTGTTGAAAGCCCCAATGCCCAGTTTAGTTCCTGACATTAAATTGAAAATAAACTAAGTCTCTGCTTCAGAGGAACCATTTTGGGCAACTTGGGAGAAATTTACCTAGTAGTATCCTGATGCTATGAAAGGAGGAATTTCCTTCCAGAAGAGGAGACCTGGACCAACAGACAAGTTTGCTATAGGATTTGTTTCATTTGTTTAATTGCATTTTACTTACTGAAATATGAAGCCCCACATAATTATATATATGTTTAAAATAAAATATTAAAGTGATAGTCCTTCTGGGATAAAGAATTGAATATCCTGCAAGTAAATATTGTCATGTTTTTTGAAATCTTTCTCCCTCTCTCTTTGCACAGATGACCCCAAAGTCATTATTGCTAACCTCACGGTAAGTGTTGGAAGCCACCAGGGCTCTGCTCTTCAAGTGCTTTTCTTCCATGATCATCCCCCACTGCAGGTTGGAGGAACATCTTCCTCACTTTCCTGCCATCTTCTGTATTTGTTGCCCTGAGAGCCTTCAAAACTTCTGGCCTGGGGTCAACTGCAGGCCCCAGAATGGTCTTGGCAATGATGAAAACTGAGACTGTTGGATCCTTCCATTAGAACTGATAAGTCTTCATTCACCATTAATCAAATCTTTACTTTCTCTGAAGCAGATCTGCCCACCATCTGGATCCATTGTTCCCTGATTCAGGGCAGAGACCCTTAAAGCACTAGCAACTTTCCTCAGATAGAATTGTGTGTATCACACCTCCCTTTCTCTACCCCTTGACTTGAAGCAGTTGGGAAAGGCCTTAGGGTATGAGCTGCTCTCAGTTAGGGTCATCCAGAGTCAGGAATGTGTCTTCCAAATTCCTCCCTCCCCTCTGATAGCCTGCTGTACTATCTCCAAAGCTAACCAACCCCCTTTAAACTTATTTATTTTCAGTGTATATTATTTGATAGGGGATAACAAATTCCACTTATTCACGAACCACTCTTTTATTGTTATCATTTTCACTGCCTTCAACTTTTAAGGGAGAGAACACCTAGGACTTCTTCTAGAAGAAAAAGACCAATGTTCATTTTTATTTCAGTGTAAAAAACCAGATCAGCACTTTAAGCCTTATATGAAACAGCACCTTCCCAAACGCTTGCATTATGCCAACAACCGAAGAATTGAGGATATCCATCTCTTAGTGGACCGCAGGTGGCATGTTGCAAGGTAACTTGGGGGCGCTGGCTATCTCTGTTTCTTATCGTTGTAGCCATCTCTTTGGCAACTGGAAATAATTTAAGGTTCTTGGTCATTATTAAAAGAAATAGTTGGACTCATCTCAGTTAAGTGCTGAGATGACGCATCTCCTCTTTCTGGGTGTCGGTGTGTTTGTGTCCCTTTGGAGTGTCTTCATGCACGTATGTGCGTGTGTGTATGCTTGTATCCAATTTTGAATTGATATTTTAGCCTTTGTTTTTATTACTTGAACCAGTCAAAATTATAACTTGGACCTTGTCCTTGGACCCAGGGTGGATGTGGTCTTGGTTGATGAGACTTCGCCTGTAGCAGTGTTTATGGAGGACTTCAGGAAATATGAGTCTAAAAACCTATAATTGTGAATGTGTTTTACATTGCTTTAGTTCCCATGTTTGCCTTCTTTCAAATATTAATGAAGTCTTGCTTTTGAATCTGTGTAGGACATCTGGAGGCTCAGACAGTTTTAAAGAATTAATTGCTAAAAGTTGGTTCATTTTCAACCTGCCCTGGAGGCAGCCATATTCCACACCCTTTCCCTTTAACTTTTCCCTTAAGAACAGGGCTGTGAATCTGTCTTCAGCAATGACAAAATAGCTATGACATGCATCCTACCTAGGTTCCCTACTCCATTTACAAGGGAGACTAGATAATGACAAATTGGTTCCCTAGGAACTTGTATCAATAGAGAATGCTTAGAAAGACGTGTGGCAAACACATAAAGATCCTACTGTAATCTGAAGGGGTTGATAGAGTTAAATATGTGGGGTTATTAAGAGATATATGTGAAGGCCAGAAATTATTGAAATCATGTAGAACAGACATGAGGAGTTAGAAGCATTACAGAGATGTGACCAAAATGGCTTGGTTATACCCTGTGCAGGACCTTTTATGTATGGGGTGACTTGGGGGAAGAGAGAAAATTTGATGCAGTTGTCAGGTTTATATGAAGAAGAGCACATGGGGGTTGAGCAGATGTTATGTGAAAGATGATGACAGCTGTTCAAATTAGCATAGACCCAAGCCAGGCATTTTAATTAGCAGTAAATCTTTTTAATATTAACTCTTTCATGGCTGGGTTACATATGCACATATGTTATTATCATCCCAACTTCAAGATGCTGTTTGGTAAGGGTGGAAACACTTTTGATAGATTTCTTTATTTTCCCCAAGTACTTTACTTCATTGCTATGTGCCCTGTATGTATTAGGAATACTCATATTAATAAACATAAACTTTATTTGGAAAAGGATCTTATGACACTTATGTAAAAGGTGAATTCCTGTTATAAGGGGAAAGACTAAAGAGCTTGACGTCTTGAGAGCAGTGTTTTCATTTTCTATTTCTTTTTTTTCTTTAAATTTTTTTTTTTTTTTTTTAGTTGTAGATAGACAGCGTGCCTTTATTCTATTTGTTTACTTTTTATGTGGTGCTAAGGATAGAACCCGGTGCCTCACACATGCTAGGCAAGTACTCTGCCACTGAGCTACAGCCCCAGCTCCCCCATTTTCTATTTCTAAGAAGAGATATTGTGTAGGATTTTGTTAGATATGTCACCATCAGAGTTCATTTGACTCTCAATTATACAATTATACTCTAGTTGTAGTGTACTTAGAGGCAAATTTGCATACAAGCCTTTTACAGAATCCAGAACTCTAAGCATTGATGAAATATCTCATATTTTTGAAGAGCCTACTGTGTGGTGGTATGTGGTCCCACAGGGAAAGTCTTAGCACTCTTAAGGCTAGTGAGGCACGTGGAGAGGCAGAGCATTACCCAGGATAAGTGTTCTGCGAGGATCTACGAGAAGGGTACTGATTCAGTTCAAAGGTCTCCATTGATTGTTATGTGACTGTCAAGGCAAGGATGCTTGGAGAAATGGAGAGAAGTATCTTGTCATCACCACAGGAATGATGCAATCGAAACAGAGACAAACGGGCTTTCAAAAGCCCCTTCTCAGAGATCCTCTGTATCCTGAAACTGGCTTTTTATCAGAGCGATTTCAGGAGAAATCCTGACTGATGATAAAATTGTTTCAATATAGGAAACCTTTGGATGTTTATAAGAAACCATCAGGAAAATGTTTTTTCCAGGGGGACCATGGATTTGATAACAAAGTCAACAGCATGCAGGTACGATCCCAGAACTGTGCGCTGACATTGCGTTTTGTTTTAGCCATTGTTGGAAGGGATGGGAGTGGAGGGGTGAATTGACATCTTGTTGTGGCATTCATACATAGAGCAAGGCTTGCTACTGGATGTCAGGAATGGTTGGTTAATTGTTTCTGTTTGTTTTCTTTTCTTTTGGAAGACCGTTTTTGTAGGTTATGGCCCAACATTTAAGTACAAGACTAAAGTGCCTCCGTTTGAAAACATTGAACTTTACAATGTCATGTGTGGTAAGTCACTCATTAAATCAAAACCAGGGACACCATCTTTAGTTCATGTATGAACTTCCTGAATGTCAGAGAAAGAAATGAGATGTCTCTTCTAAGACCATCTCTGCTTTTTGCAAAAAAAATGTTGTAACTTGCTCATTGGTTCAAAGGACAGAATGTCATCCCTTCTAAGGCGTCTTTGTCTCCCTTCAACAGTTGACTAGCAGGGAGTTTTCACAGTGTTGCTGTTGGCAGCCTCTGGCTGATCCAACATAGCATTACAGTTTGACACTGCTGGTCAGAGACCTGATGAAGCAAGAGTTGGGCATGGAGCTTTTCCCACCTCTCTCTCTCTCTCACATTGCAGCCCAGCTAAAATTTTGCCAGCTTGCATCCTGGCCAGCTATTTATGTGCTCCTAATTATTTTTCTTCCTTGAGCTTCTAGTTGCTGAATGAGGACAACTTTTCCTATTTAGTAAGGGAGTGCCAGTCTGGTGGTTAGAGGGGGAGTCTGTAAGTCGGGTCTCCTGGGTTCTTTTCCCATCTTGGCTGCTCACTCTTCCCTGTCCTGCCTCCCAGCTTAGGCAAGTCAGTCACTGTGTGCCCACTTGGCAACCATTCACTTGCTGTGAAATCAGCCTGTTGGTGTAATAGTGGCACTTCAAGGCACCAGGCCAGAGCCTCCTCTTGTCCCCACATTTGTGTGGAGTGTATTAGAGGACAGGCCTATGGTTATTTATTGACTATAAGTCTTATTTTGGATGAAAAAGTCCCAGAGAAGTGCAGAAAGGCAGTGATATGGAAGCTGAGAGTCCTTGAGATGTCACTATCGCACACACAGGCAATAGCTGTGTAAGACCCTCTTCCTCCACTCTTGTTTTGAGCAGTGCCTCTCTCTATTCATGGTCAAGTGAGGAGCATGGCTATTTCAGGAAGCTGTGGCAAGACATGGTGAGGACAGAATGGTTTTGGGGGTATGTCAGGGATGCTTGCTACCTAAATTTGGTGTTACCTAATTTTGATTTGTGTTTGGGAGTTTACATACCATTGGAGGTGAAAGGTTTTGATTCTTATCATATATCATCAAAAAACATTTAAGAAGAACCTGGTTCCTTTTCTCTCTTTGAATCAGATCTCCTGGGATTGAAGCCAGCTCCTAACAATGGAACTCATGGGAGTTTGAATCACCTCCTGCGTGTTAATACCTTCAGACCAACCATGCCAGAGGAAGTTACCCGACCAAATTATCCAGGGATTATGTACCTTCAGTCTGATTTTGACCTGGGCTGCACCTGTGATGATAAGGTAGAGCCAAAGGTAGAAATAATCTTTATATTTATCACTGAGGAGCTTGTGGGGTTTGTTTGTAACAGCATGTTCAGTGGAACTTTCTTTGATGATGAAGTAGTTTCTCTCTTTGCTGTCCAAAGTGGAGCCGCTGGATGGTGTGATCAAGGGATTTTAATTTTCTTATTTAAAATTTAAATTTAGGGATCCAGCAGTGGCTCATTACTACCATAACACAGACATAGAAATTGAAAGATAAAAAATGTCATTCTATGCATAAATCCCAACCAAAAGCTTTCTTTTCTTCAACCATGGATTGCATATCGATCAGTCATGGTCCTGGCAGGAAACAGGTGGCCAAGATAAAGAGGTTTTGAAAGACACTTTGAAAAGATTGTTTCAATCGTGTTTAATGAGATAACTATTTACAGAGGCTGGGCAGGGGAGATGGAAGTCAATGAGGAATGGTAAGGTGCTCCGGGGTAGGAGGATAGATCCAGACCCTGAAAAGTGAGGGGTGGGGGCAAGTTATCAGAACACAGAGACCTGGGTAGGAAGGAATTATTAGATTTATTAGCTGAGACCAGGTAGTACATTGCATCTTGGTTGGGAGGGAGACAGGGAATAATACCCTCCTTTCCCTCTCCTTTACTCCCCTACAGATGTCTCCCATTGGTAGAGTCCAACAGGAAACCAGAGGGCAAGTTTGCCTTTTGATACAGTCCCCAGAGGTCAGCCTCCCAGGACACAGAGTAGGGTGGGGAAAGGTACAACACCAATGAGGCAGTATTGTTGCTACAGAGACTACCATCATTCCATGTTTGAACAGTTTTTGAAAACCAAACAAACTAAAATGCTAGGCAATAATTTGCTTATTGACATTTATATTGATCAAAGACCAATATAGCAGCCAACCAGTGCTTCTAGCAGCAGGAATGAACCAATGCTACCACATGCAACTGACACAATGCCAGCCCAAAGCAAGGCAATCTGGCATATTTGTATGTGTGGTGTGTTGGTAACTATATGTGTGATTTTTTTTTCAGCTTTAGAAAAATGTAAAATATTTCTTCTATTGCCTAGTCTCCATCTCCTTCTGCTTGCTTCCTTCCAGGATTCCTGGGGGTCCAAGGAGCTACATTTGGAGGTTCCCTACTGTAGGAGTTCAGTTTGCTTGTCTTCCTCATTTCCCCATTTTAATCTTCTTCCCATTTTTTTTTCTCTTGACAAGAACCAAAGGGACTAGTTATAACAAGGCAGGAAATCTCAGAGGTCAGTTTAGAGGAGTCGAATTGCCAAAGTCAACAGGAAGTCATCTCGTGAGGTGGGGTGGAGGCCAGATAATAGGTTTACAGGAATCAATTGGTTGCCTCTTGTTTTCTGAATTATCTGTCTTCCGAGAAGAAGGAGACTGTTGGATATCTTTTCAAACTGTTTCAGAAAAATTCTGCTTTGTCTTAGTCTATGGCTTTCTCCAAAAGACTACCTTCTTCCTCTAAGACATCCAGACATATTAAAAAAAAAAAGTAAAGAATTAAAAAAGTGAATACCTAAGTACACAAATAATAAGAGAGAAAACTTTACAGGTTCAGTGGAAGTTCCATACTTCCCTCCCCATCCTAACTCCTTCCTGCCCAGAGTTTACTGGTGTCCTGAATGTAGTGTGTATATTTCCAATGCATGTGTCTGTACATTTATTTTATATATTTATAGCTCAAGTAATATATGATGTAATCTTTAGTATGTTTCCAAAGATGATTTATGTGTATTTTGCATAGTATAAATTTTTATATGAATGCTATTATACTATTTGAACCCTGCAATTATTTTATTTATCATTGTTGTTTTCATAAAGAATCAGTGAACATTTATTTATAATCCACTGTACATGAAATGCCTTTCAAATGTTATCATTATGATTTTGAGATACATTTATGTGTGTTAATATATTGTTAGCTCACTCATTTTTACTACTTATAGTTGTATTTAATTGTAAAAATGTATCATACTGATTTCATTGATTTTCCTATTTGAGAATGCTTGGTAATTTCAAATGTTACTCTTATGAATGATGCTGCAACAAATGTTATTGTAAATGTATTTTATACATTTAAGCTAAAATGTCTCTAGGATGTATGTAGTGGCAGATAGAGTCACTGACCAATTATGTTTTAGAATTGTTGACTTATTAATTTTTAGTTCTGGAAAAAGCAATTTCATCCATTAGTTTGGAAATTATTTTAGTGTACCTAAGGATTTATCTGAAATACTGAGGCACTATTATAATTAATTATATATATTTTTGCATGCCCAGGTAAACATCATTACCAACATGGGAAGTTGGTACATGATTTCCCACAGCTTTAAGGAAAGGAAACAGTCATGGAGAGATTAAAGAAGGTGCTCATAGACACAGAACAACTAGGAAGTGGAGATTAGAATGTCAAAACAGAAATTCCTCAGAATAGTTTATGATATTAACAGAGTTTAAGATTCAGGCAGTATCAAATAGAGAGAGGGTACAGGAAAGAATGAACATTTCTGACTTGCTTTTTTCCCCCCCTGCTTTTCTGGTATTCACTCATGAAGAACAAGCTGGATGAACTCAATAAACGCCTTCATACAAAAGGGTCCACAGAAGGTAAGGGGTTGGTTAAAAAAAATTATATAAGGTTTATTTTCTAGTATGAAAAAATTGGAGACTTCTATTTGCTTCATAGTATAAGAATACTATTTAAAAAATTCCTACTTGTATTGCAAAGTGATTTTTATATCCATCTGATGAAGGGTGTTGGTTTATTCTGTGTGCCCAAGATGCCAGCTGTGAGATAGAAAACTGTGACTTGATTTTTCATTTTCTTCAGTTGCTTCCAAGCCCCCCCGCCCCAACCAGATAATCCACTGTGTATCTGATGGGTTTCAAGGGAAGATGCTAATGGAGACTCCTATACAAGGAATGGTAGTCATAATTATAAATGAGTAGCTGGTTCCTATGCTGAAGCTCACCTACCTGGAGTGTCAGTGTATATGTTGTAGGGAAAGAGACACAGGGGAATCAAATCAGAACTCCCCCTTCAAATAAAGGATTATCTTGAGGCCTGATTTCAATCCCCTCCTATCTTATCCTGCCATCATGTATAACATACATCGATAACAAACATGTATTAATAAACTTTTTCAAACTTGAGATATGACAAGAAAAAAAAAAACAACTCAGTGATTTTTGTCAGGAAAGACACACAAGATTGGGAGCAGTGGTGTATGCCTATAATCCCAGCAACTGGGAAGACTGAGGCAGAAGGATTGCAAATTCAAAGCCTGCCTTGGCAACTTAGCAAAACCCTGTCTCAGAATAAAAAATAAAAAATAAAAAGGGTGAAGGATGGATGTGGCTCAGTCGTAAAGTACCCCTGGGTTCAATCCCCACTACCAAGGAGAAAGAGAGAGAGAGAGAGAGAGAGACATGATCTGCTCACATTTTACTATGCTGACTTTAGGTTCAGTGGGTCCCTACTTGCTTTATTCTTAATTCTAGAGTCTGGGTTGACAGAGTAGCCCCTGTATGTGACATATCCTGTCTAGGGCAGCACAAAGAAATGCATATTGTAACTCAGCATTTCTATCATGAGGCACTTCACTTCCATTCACAATTCACTGGCCAAAGCCTTATCACTGGCACCAATGGTGCAGGGAAATATATTCTTTCCACTAGGACCTTGTCTCACAAGTCACATGGCAATGGGTGGAGACAATAAATAATTAGGAATAAAAATGCAATTTACCTTCTTCCTTCTAACTTTGAAATTCCAAACTTTAGAAGAAAATAGAAGAGGGTGTGGAGGCTACTGTATGGGTTAATATAGTAGATGGGACAGCTTGTTGAAACAGCAGGGGAATAACTGAGAGTAAGGAACCATATAGGACACAAGCATAGCACCCCCAAGCCATGCAGCAAAGATGCACAAGGTCAAGTTTTCCTGAGACCATCGCTGGAGTTATTAGCTTATTTATGGTTCATTTATCATATGTGCTGTTTCCAATCTTACTAAGCAGAAGTTGAAGAAAGCAGTAGAAGACTTTTTATTTACTTGACTTATTTTTCTCCTTTATAAAGATCTTCATCTGCCCTTCTTCCTTTTCTCCATCCTCCTCCTCCTCCTCCTTCCTTTGATCACAGAGGATGTAGACTCAGGCATATAATTGGGTAAATCCATTTTTAAAGGTGGAATTCATTGGTGAAAGCTACACATATCCTGTACAAAATCTGAGTGATTTGAAATGTTTGACCTCCGTAAACCATGTGGACTATGGTGTCATAATAATTACAAGAATTGGGATGCTGCCAGGGTCAAGGATAGATAGTCTCATGATTTGAGTTTTTCAAATATTCAATCACAAAGCAAAGAAATAGTACCGAGAAGCTTCTCTTCTAAAAGCCACTGGTTTGTTGATGATGATTTTTTATTAAATTATTTATTTATTCTAATTTGTTATACATGATGGCAGAATGCAATTCATTTCATATTACACACATGGAGCACAATTTTTCAAGTCACTGGTTGTGCACAAAGTATTTTCACACCATTCATGTCTTCACACATGAACTTAGGGTAATGATGTCTAACTCATTCCATTGTCATTTCTACCCCCTTGCCCCTTCCTTTCCCCTCCCTCCCCTTTGTCCTGTCTAAAGTTCCTACATTCCCCCCCTGCTCCCCTCCCATTGCCATTATGAGTCAGCATCCTCATATCAAAGAAAACATTTGGCCTTTGTTTTTTTTTTTTTTTTCAGGATTGGCTTACTTCACTTAGCATTATATTCTCCAGCTTCATCCATTTACTTGCAAATACTATGATTTTGTTCTCTTTTAATGCTGAGTAATGTTCCATTGAGTATATATACCCAAGTTTCTCTGTACATTCATCTATTGAAGAATATCTGGGTTGGTTACACAATTTAGCTATTGTGAATTGTGCTGCTATAAACATTGATATGGCTGTGTCCCTGTAGTATGCTGTTTTTTAAGTCTTTTAGGTATAGACTGAGGGGTGGGATAGCTGTGTCAAATGGTGGTTCCATTCCAAGTTTTCCAAGGAATCTCCATACTGCTTTCCAGATTGGCTGCACCAATTTGCAGTCCCACCAGCAATGTATGAGTGTGCCTTTTCCCCCACATCCTCACCAACACTTATTGTTGTTTGTCTTCATAATAGCTGCCATTCTGACTAGAGTGAGGTGAAATCTTACAGTAGTTTTGATTTGCATTTCTCTAATTGCTAGAGATGTTGAACATTTTTCATATATTTGTTGACTGATTGTATAGCTTCTTTTGAGAAGTGTTTGTTTATTTCCTTGGCCCATTTATTAACTGGGTTATTTGGGTTTTTTTTTGGTGTTTAGATTTTTGAGTTCTTTATATACTCTGGAGATTAGTGCTCTATCTGATGTGCAAGTGGTAAAAATTTGCTCCCAGAATAGGCTCTCTGTTCACCTCATTGATTGTTTCTTTTGCTGTGCAGAAGCTTTTTAGTTTGAATCCATCCCATTTATTGATTCTGGGTTTTAATTCTTGTGCTATAGGTGTTTTATTAAGGAAGTCAGGGCCTAATCCCACATGATAAAAGTTTGGGCCTACTTTTTCTTCCATTAAATGCAAGGTCTCTGGTTTAATTATTAGGTCCTTGATCCACTTTGAGTTGAGTTTTGTGAATGGTGAGAGATAGGGGTTTAATTTCATTTTGTTCCATGTGGATTTCCAGTTTTCCCAGCACCATATGTTGAAGAGGCTGTCTTTTCTCTAATGTATGTTTTTGGTGCCTTTGTCTAATATACGATAACTGTACCTGTAGACCAATGGTACAGAATAGAGGACACAGAGACTAACCCACATAACTACAGTTATCTTATGTTGATGATAAGATCCCATGTTTTTGCTGATTCAAACTCTGGTTGTTCATGGTACTAAAACATTTTGATCTCAGAAATAATTCTCGGTGACATTGTGACAAAATCTTTCTGACAACTGAGCACGAAATAGCCTCAAATCTCCAAACATGAACATAAGAGGCATCTTCTTAATGAATTTGTGACTCTCAGGGATAGAATTTGCAGGTAATATTGTCATCTCTGTGTGGTTTGCTCAGTTGAACAAAAGTCTCTTACACCTACCACCAAAGGGTCTTTTCAAGCATAAAAGCTTAACATTTGTGGATTCATTCAATGTTTGTAGGATGCTCACCCTGGCCTGGTTCTGGTTTCTCTGAGACAGCTGCACCTATAAAAAGTGGCAGCATAAAATATTAGAGGAGACTCATAGTGGCACATGCCCTTGGTCTGCTCATGTCCTAATGGGACCAGCCTTTAAAAGAATTTTGTGAAGTAAAAATAATTATATGTCATGGTTGTATTATGGGTAAAGCATTTTCTTGTTTAGATTCTGGAATATGCATACACCTCAATACTCTATTTTTTTCTTCATCTCTTGGTCTTTTTTCTGTCTTCTTATAGGCTCTCTTTTGGTCATTTCTTTGGCAGCAAAGCAACATTTTCTTAGTCCAAGTCCTTTCAGGCCTCTGTGATGTTTCCTGTGTCATAAATCCTAGTCTCCCATTTAAAATATTGAATGCTTGCTCCACTGGAGCAGAACCTTGTGAATGCAAATCTCTGTGTGTGTGAGCACATGAATCTATTCAGAGTAATTACTTCCCTTTTCTGGATACCTTTGAGTATGTGTTGAAGCTTGTAATTTGTAAACCTACATTTCTATACAAAGGTAAAATTGTACAATTTTTGTTATTAGTTGTTTTAAACACAGATATAGGTAGTTGATATATTTCAGAATAAGCCATATGTTACACATAACCCACTTGAAATATTCATATGTGGCTGTTTTAATGTCATATGCTGTAAAATCACTCATATATCTGTATAAAGCACACATGTAAAGGCTGCACATTCCAGTAATGAAATAACCCAGGGGATATTTGGAGATTTAAAAAAAAGAGGTATATTAAATTAATCATAGGAAATAGTTTGCTATAAATATTTAAACTGTTATAGAATGAAGTCATTTGCCAAAATGAAAAGGAAGAAAATGTAGTCTTCCAAGATGGTGATCTACACTGCAATTGTATTTCTAGATAAGTGATAAATTCCAGATCTTAATTGTACGCTGGTTGCTCTTTCTGGGTCACATGTAGCTAACATCTTGATGGACTTACTATGCAATGAAAACTCATTTCCTTGTGACATTGAATCAATGGATGAATGCATGAATAAAATGGAAAATTTAAAAACTCTCATAGCAGGCGATTCTAGCACTGAAGCTGGCTATAATTTTTGTGGTAAGAATTATTACAATATTTAGTTTCACCTTAGTCTTTATTTACATGGTTATAAAATGTTTTATATTTTCTTAAGTTAGAATTCACTATCATCTTTATATAAAAAGGAATTGAAAATCATTTTTAAATGATATGGTTTTGTATGTATATGTTTAGCTCCTTCTCACACACAATGAGAGAAGAGTGACTTAAGGAGTGATAAGACTTACTAACTTTAAAGTAGTATTTTGAATATTTTAGAGAGGGAATCTCTTGTCTCTCTTTTTGATTCTAAAAATGTTTCTTAGTTTTATTATATTTTGGAGTTGCTAGTTGTCTTAAAGAAGAAGATGTACTTGTGTTTCTCTGTATGTGTGTCCATGTGTGTGTTTTAAGGAAGACTTGGAAGAAATCATTACACAGTATAATTGCTTGTGATTTATAGTAGATTTGATATAGACACTGAATTCTAATCATCTTTAACTACCAATATTGTTTGCTGATACTAAGCTGTGACAACTACAACCACTATGACCAAAGCTAGTTTGGGTGAAGACTGACCTTGGTGTATTACATGTTTTGCTCTTTGACAGTACAACATCCCAGGGAAGCAGAAGCCTTTAGGATGTTAAGTTTCGGAGTTGCAGAGTTATGAAGAGCTGAGATGAGATTTGACTCCAGTTCTAGTGACACTTAAGCCTATGTGATTTCCTCTGAAAATGCTTTTTATTCTAAGTGTTGGCACAAAGCGAATATGTCAGGAGAGAATTTCAGTTCATGTCAAGATTTGCAAGTTGTTATGAAATACTAAAGGCTTTGATACAAATGATTGTCCTTGTTAGGGCTTACTAATGTTGTCTCAGCATATATCACTTGGACAGAACTGATGCACAGGAGCAGATGGACCTTCATTCCAATATGTTCTCCATTAGAACAACCCAGCAGGCAGCATCCGGCTGGAGATTGCCCCAAAGGCTAAAGTGACAAATGATGTCAAGAGGTTTGAGGCCTAGAGTCTTGGTGCTGCTATGTAGCCGAATTATCTAGTATAAATAATAAACCCCCAATTTCTCCATCAGTAAAATGGAGGGGGAACTGATCTGCCCAATCTGTCTCTCAGCATTATGTTAGGCAGGTCATATGTAAAACCCAGCTTTTTATTTTTATGTATTTTTTATTGATTCATCAATAAGTCTTTACCAAGTAGATATTATGTGATTGGTGGTAGAGAAGAAGGATCTGGTAGTAAAAAACACAGATAAAGTCCCTGTCCTCATACAGTTATTGATCTATGGAAGGACGTAGGAAGTAGATGAATTACAGCATACTGTTTCAAGGGTTGAGGTAAGAACAGAGCACTAATAGAGACGTCCAGTAGAATCCCAAAGGAGATTGAAATGTCAGTGAATGATAATAGACACTTATAAAGCAAAGAAGGAGAAAGAATACAGGAAAAGGAAAGGTCTTGTGTAGAGGTTTTTGTGGTCAAATTTAAGAGCATATTATTGTGGGAGTGAATGTTTAAAAAACAAAAGGGGAGGAGAGATTTTCATGTGGCTGCAAGTTAGCCAGCCAATCTGTGGGAATGTGAATCAGGAAGCTGAGGAGGGAAGAGAAACACAAACTCAGGTCTGCATGACCAAACTTTGGAAGGGAAAAACAGTAAATGCTGGGGAGTCCACACCACTTAAAAAGATTTGTCTCACAGCATCTTGCCAAATGTGGTATCTGGAGGAGAACCTTGGCGTGTACCAAAATGCCAGAGACACTATTGTAAACAGGAATCAGGGTGTGGAATAAAGGCTCTGTCTAGAATTCTATGGAGCAGGATCCCAGTCTGGGAAGGCACAGCCACAGAAAAAAAATCACAGGAGAAGGATGGTTAATGGGTACAGAAGTGCAGTTGGACAGCAGGAATAACTTCTATATGGCATAATGGAGTAACTACATGACCAAAATTAACTATAAATTTCAAAGTAACTTATAGAGAGGATTTTAAATGTTCTCAATGCAAAGAAATGATAAGTGTTTGAGGTAATAAACATACCAATTACACTGATCCATTTACCCTGATATGTACACATGGTACATATGTGTTAGAATATCATACTGTAACCCATAAATATGTGCAAATGCTGTGACAGTTAAAAATTTTTAAATATTTTGAAAGTAAATACTTTAAAAGCATGAATACTTCAATTACTTATTGGAGTCACTTACTGTAGGAAAAAATAAAAAAAGAAATCACAGGAACATGTTGTCAAAGCAGAAGCTTGTGGCTTAGTCTTGAGGCGAAGATCTTAACGTGTAAGGACAGAATCAAGTACATTTTGTGGCCTGGGTAGGAGCATTTTGTTCAGCAGAAACTCAATATGTGGCTCGCCTAAGAAATTATAAAGACCCACAAAGTCAGGATATGATGAAGATCCTGTGATTCATTGATACTTTGATAAATTGAAAAAGTAAAATCCAAATTTGAATCAGAACTTTAAAATCTGTGTTTTTTACTGCAAAGATTATTTCACTTCTTTCTTGGACAAAACTGCTAAGTTTTAGGAAGACCCAGGTACATTGTTTTGTGGGTGTGGGGGTCAGTTAAGAATCTTGATTGGTTGGATTTTGGAAGGTTGTTGAAACCACTGGGTGTTTTTTTTTTTTTCTTTTTCTTTTTCCTGATGCTCAGTAATAACTGAAAAAGAATTGATCAGATAATGAAACATTTGTGCTTCAGCTGTGTTTCATAATGCAGTTGTGTCCATGCTTCGAAACTGTGAAGCCCAAATTTTTGAAGCAAACTGAAGTCTATATATTCAGAGCAGAAGAATGAGTAGATATGGAGAAGGTGCGTTGGGAAATTGTAGAAAGTGAATCTTGGATATTTGGTTGATCTTGTACTTTTTCCTTTTTAACTCATGTCTCTCCCATGATGGTTGAATTCTATGACCATATTATTTGTCTTACACCTTGAGTGTGAAAAAGAGTGTTTTAATAATATGTCAGAATAGCAGACATAAGCTGGGATGTGGCTTCACCCTGGTTTAATGTCATATACTCTGTGGAGGGCTTTGCTGATGCCATCTTACCCCCATTGTGACATTCATCCTCCTCTGTGTTCCTTCCATATTCTTATGGATAGCTCTAATGTGGTGCAGACTATGTTATTTGTGAGTTATTTGTGCCACGTTTGTCTTTCCCATTGAACTCTGTGCTCTTTGAGGGTAAGAGTTCTATCCTAATATTCTTTGCTCAGTTACTTTTCTTCTACAGCCCAGCACCTGGTCCAATGTAGGTTTTCAATCAGTGTTTGATGAGGAATACATAATGGATGAATTGGGAAGGAGATAAGTGACAGACTGGTGGAGAAGACTGGAGAAGTTATTGTTAGTAGAGAGAAAAGCAATCACATGTGTAATATCAAAGAGGTGTTCACCACTATCATGTGTGGGTGCTGCAAATTGAGAAATGCCAAGAAATGAGGGCCCCTGGAGAAAGGAAGAGCCAGAGTTGGTGGAGACTGTAGATCACCCAAACTATTGTCTGGTGGCTGGTCAAGGAGGGGTGTTACATGTGATTGCTCTTTTGTTGTCCCTTCATGGAACAGATGGGAGGCTAGGCTTGAATTCTGGTTTGGAGAAATGTGCATGGTAAGCATTAACACTTGAATGATTAAAAGAGAATAGCTTCTCAAAAAATTTTGATACTTCTGCTTCCAGCTGAAACCAGGAAATTCAGAGGCAGCAAAAATGAAAACAAGGAAATCATTAATGGAAATTTTGAACCTAGAAAAGGTTTGGTTTGAGTTTCAAAGAAAGTCTGGGTTGGTTTACTGCCCCCCCCCAAGTACTACTGTTATGATTTGCTGGCTTTTACTTTGTTTATTATACTTCACTTATTTAATATTATCATGTAATGTTCTAATTCTTAGGGGTGGGTCCCCAAATTTGGAAGCTTAGGCAACCCTATATTTACTGCCATGCTGCCAAAGCCAAACTATGCAGAACAGGCTTATGTTGTAACAGTGTGGGCCTCTTTGCCTCAAATCATCAGTTCTACTTGGGGGGGTCTTGCAAAGTATTCTATGAAGGGGTTTCTCCATTACTCGCATAGAATGGTAACACTTTAATTAAAGCAACATGTATACATAATTTAATAAGTGATTGCCAGAACTTATTTTCTCTAATAAAATACTAGTAAAAAAAAGTTTTTCCCCCTTAAAAATATATATCACTTAAGGAATTATGAATTGCCTAAGCCTCAATCTCTAAATATTTTGGACTGGAGTGACCCTGATTTCTAAGAATCTATGGAAGTTTTGGCCTGTCCAAAGTGGTCAGATCAGGCTGTAGGCACTAGTATGGAACTAGTAAACTTAATTTCTTCTTCCTCAAAAAGTAAGGTTTCAAACCTTTTTCCTTAAGAAGAGAGGTTTCCCTTGAGGGATTTGTCTCTGCTTTTGGGAGTCTTCACTGAGCTCTTGGGTAACTGATGAACACCTCTTTTCGGTATTTAAAAGACTCTCTTGAATGCCCACTTATTTTATCTATACATGTTCCTTTAAGTTCTTACCTAAAGAGTTTACCTCCATGTGACAAAGCTGCTTCCTTTAAATTCTCATTACCACTCACATTTTATGCTGAAATAATGTATATTTGAGTTGCAGTTTGCAAATAATGATGAGAGAGCCTTCTTCTTAATTAAGTCATTGTTTAGCCTGTTATTCTACTGAAGTCCAATCCTTGGTTTTCCATTCAGTGGAATCATTTCTAATTTTGTTATATAATATTTCCTTTCTATATAGATTTAAATTACTTACAACCATAAAGAGCATTAACATAAATATGGCATTTACATTACAGTTTTGATAACTGCAAGCCTTGATGCATGCACAGGTGATCAGAAACTACAAAAATGTTAGGAAGACTCACATTTAAATTAAGGAGAAGGCACTACATTATTAATAAGTAAGCTAGCACATTTTAGACAACTCAGCTCTTCCAATATTTCTTTAACTTTTGGTGTAAAGTTCAATGTGCATTTAACATAGTTTAACTTTTTTCTTTCCTAGAGAGACATCTCCTCTATGGGCGACCTGCCGTGCTTTATCGAACTAGATATAATATCTTATATCACACTGACTTTGAAAGCGGTTATAGTGAAATATTCCTAATGCCACTCTGGACATCATACACTGTTTCCAAACAGGTCATTGGAAAAATTGGGTTTTGTATTCTTCATTTCGTTACATTCCTTGATCAATATAATGATTACTTGACTTAGAAAATATCTTTTTTTTCTGGTGGAAGAAATTCCCTGTTGGATCTATTGTAAGATATTTTGAACTAGTCTTTATTCAGGGTTCTAATAGTTCCATGATAATATGTTAAATATTGAAAGGGGCATGCTAATTCTTTTGTTTTTGTTTGTTTGTTTTTAACTGTGCATAAATTATTGCCCAGTAATTACAGAAACCACTAAGATTTGTGTATTTTTTTGTTTGTTTTAATGAACTTTATTTTTTTAAGAACAGTTTTCAGCCTCAAGATTTAGTGGAAAGTACAGAGTTTCCTTATATTCTCTGCGAATGCACAGCCTTTCCCACAAATTGGCATCCTGTTTTTATTTATTAAAAGTTTTGTGTTGGAGCTTCAATGTGATGAGGATGAGATACATAGGTTATATCATGAAGTGGAAAAATTTATTTGGCACTTGAAGTGTTTTAAATTTCTGAATATAAATGAAAAGAATACTTCTACTTATATACGTATATTATATATATTATATGTTCTTTATGTGTGTAAATATATGAATATATATACCCACACATATAAAGAGTACACACACTTTTTTTTTTGGAAAGGATGTCTTTTATTGCTAAATGTGTTAGTTTTTAAATGATCTGTGAAAGCTTATTCATTTTCCAGCAGTGGGATTTCTGCTTTATATATTGTTATCCTTAAGACTTTGACAAAAGACTTCTGTTGCTAAAAAATAAGCGTTTGAAAATTACTGGCTTGTTGTTTTTAAAACTAATGATATTTAAAGGAATCAGAATATCAGAATATGAGCTATAGTAAAAGCCAGTAGGGTTTTAGTTTGGGCTGCTCATGACAGCATTACTGTGTCCCTGTCATTTGGCCTTCTCTCTGCGATGGCATTACTGAGTAACTTTGACTCTCATGCAGGCTGAGGTTTCTGGCATCCCTGAGCATCTGACCAATTGTGTCCGCCCTGACGTCCGTGTTTCTCCAGGCTTCAGTCAGAATTGTTTGGCCTACAAGAATGATAAGCAGATGTCCTACGGATTCCTCTTTCCTCCCTGTAAGTCATAGAGTGTCTGGATCTGATCACTTGGCTGGGGGCAGGGATATACTGTACATTCTGGAGTGTGAAACTAGGAAGTTAGGGTTTCGGTGGCTGATTTTCTTTAAGAGGGGCCACTCAAGAGATTGTAGAGATGAACTTTATGTGATCCTTCCAAAATTAGCCAATGACCAACTTTCAAAATTCCAACTTTCCAGGAGAATTTTAAAGTACAAGGGAATCTTCTGTGTTCCTCCTTACATTGTTTCATGAGAATCTGAAAAAATGAAAACATTAATCTTTTGGTGATTTTAAGGTGATCTCTTAAAAATAAGTGGAACCCTTTCATTGTCTTGATGCTATTTTTAAACGTCTGAGTTACACTAATGAAATCAAGGAATTCTTTTACAAAGTACTTAAGTTTAAGAACTAGGTAGAATGAAAAACAATTTTTGAGAGAGACTGAATGAAGGGAAAAGATTGAGTGGGGGAGGGGGAGAAATGTCTAAAGGAGGCAATGAGTGGGAATAAAGGAGGAGATCTATACCTGCTTGCCATGGGACCATTTTGGAAGACTATTTTTCTTTTGATGTAGATTTTGGTAAGTCATGTACACTATTTGCTCTCTTGATGTTTAGATCTGAGCTCTTCGCCGGAGGCTAAATATGATGCATTCCTTGTAACCAATATGGTCCCAATGTATCCTGCTTTCAAAAGTAAGTCCAATATTTACCTAATAAACTGTTATTTATGAAAGTAAATATTTCTAAATTTACCACTTACCTTTTCTACCACTATGTTGATTTTAATAATGACAATACCTTTCATGTGTTTAGCCTTCATACATTTTTGAAAAACTTTCATATAAATTTTCTACTGTGAACCCCAAATTTGAATCTGTGAGGAAGGTTAGCAGGTACTTACTTTATCCCTTGTTTATATTTAAGAAGTTGACATCATAAGTGACAGAGGTCATAAGTGGTAGAAGCTGAATTAACCACGTCTGTGTTTTTCTTTCAGTTCTTGCAATTTTAATGCTCATTCTTTTGGTGGTTAAAAAGGTTTCCACTGAATTTTGGAAGTCACTTGACACTTAACAGCATCTACATTTACTTACTGAACATTGCCATGAAATCACTGTCCCCTGTGGGGTACTCGTGCATATACCGTGCTGACTCTGAAACCCATCAAGAGCCTCAGGGGTCTTCATTCATCAGAATATTATTTTCAGTTGGCTTTAGGGCTGTGCAGACTATTGTTTGCATTTCATTGAATACATAATTGATTTGTACATGACAACAATAGTTTTGGATGGTAAGGATTTTATGAATTTTATAGGCACAGAAAGTTCTGGCCCCCCAAATCAAGTTCTCATCTCTGAAGTGTGACCACGGGCTGTGTGATTGTAAAAGTGATATTCGATTTCTCATTTGTAAAATTAAAAGATTTTATTGCATGACCTCTAAGACTCATATAGATTTATGACTTATCTATTCAGTGGTAAAGATAATCCATTTTCTTTTTCTCATATTAAATAATTAATCAATTTCTCCATCTCTCCATCTATCCAACCATCCATTTATCTGGAGACAGAGAAGGCAGTATGGAATAGATTTTACTCCCTTTTAGTTCATTTACAGTGAAAGAACTTATATGCTTATGGGACAAGTAGGAAAAAGGAGTACTTCTCTCTAATTTGAGTTGGCAGTGGAGGATCGGGTTCTGTGTGAGGACTCTCAGGGCTGAAATAGAGTCTCAAATTAGGAAAGAGGAATTGCGGTATGTCAGCTACAGTGGCAGGCCTCCCTGCTTAACTTTGGTGAAATGGCTGCATGGTTTAGAGAAAAATATGTTTATTTGATGTCCTGGTTAGTAAATGAAGGTGTTCTCAAAGCTAGAATCTGTTGCTTATGAATGAAAATTTAAAGTCGGGTTTTAAAGGAAGATTTCCTAGTTTGTTCTCAGACTCAGTTGAGAAACATTTCAGAAACTCACATAGGTACATTTCTCACAATGGGGGCATAGCTTCTTTTAATTGCCATGAATTGGGATTTCCTGGATTTCTCTATTCTTCATTGATGTAATTTGGACCAAACAGAAATAAAGGAAACACACGGTACCACCCTGAGGCTGGTGTGGCAAGGCCTTTGACAGAAGGCTTGCTGTTCTTCACTAGGGGGATGGTTTTTTTCTCATGCCACATTTCTGTGGGTTTGGCCTTTTGACTGTTCCCATTGTTATTTCTTCTCTCTCTCTCTCTCTCTTTCACTCTCTCGCTCTCGCTCTTTTGGCTTAAGTTAACATTGAACCTTTCCTCTTACTGTCCTCCTTCTTTCTTTGGTACAAATAATTATCCAAGGTTTTTGGCTCTTTTGGGCTGCTCTGCTATTTTTATTCAGAGTAGAGAGTCAGAAGATAGAAAGAGGAGTGGAAGCCCTATGGGAAAGATGGCCAAGTGCTTTTTAATAAGGACAGGAAAGAAGTGGTAGCATCCTGAACCTCTAATCCTCATGTAAAATAGTGGTGAGTTGGACCTAATATTAGGGAAACAACTCATTGCTTGCCTTCCCTGCTCCTGCTAGTCTTTTCTCTTATCTGCCTTCCATTCCACTCCTCCCCTGTTCCTTTGGTTGACCATAATGTAAACTGGAATTAGAATGGACAAGGGAGTCCCATGCAGGGGGTGACACTGGAAGTGAGAAATGAGTAATAGAAGCGAAACCAGACAAAAAGAGACCATGGAATGAATTTTCCAGGCAAAGGAATGAGCAAAAGCAAAAGCTTAGGCTTGAACAAACTTGATAAGGTTGGGGGACAGGAAGAAAGCCTTGCACCCAGGGGAGGATAGGGGTTGGAAGTAGAATCACAGGTGTAGGCAGGGCTGTGGATGCGAATTGGGTTTGGATTTTTATTGTTACAATGAAAAATCTTCTTCAGTATTAGAAATGGGTGAGGGGATTGATTGATTCTGATTTGTGGTGTAAAAGGATCCATATGGTTACTATCAAGAAGTAAGAGTTTTGCACAGGGAGCCCAGGAAGTAGTCTTCTGTGGTAGTTCACAGGGCATGGAAACTTAGATCAAGATGGAAGCAATGAATAGGGTGACAGGTGGTCTGATTTAGGGTGACTGGGATGCATTTTTGAGACAGCTTTGAGAGCATTTGCTCATAGGAGTGAGGAGAGAAGTCAGGGATGCCTCCTAGAATTTGTCCTGAACAAATTCTCTGGGTGAGAGTGCCATTAACTGTGATGGAGAAGACAAGGGGCAGAGCAGGATTGGAAGGAAAATCAAGAATTCTCTTTGGGTAATGTTTTGTTTGATATGATGATTAGATATTCAAGTGGATTATGAGAAGGATGGTTGGATAACTTGCTTGGGCTCCGTGGAAAGGTCGGAGCTAAGGACAAACTCGTGAGCTAGCTATGCTTTCTTTTCAATCACCCAGAAAGACCACACTTCTACTTTTGTGCATACTGCAAAGTTAGTATGTGCACACACTACCTGGCACATTCTACCTCCATCTTTTTGTCTCACCTACTAATCCATCCTTCAGATTTCAGCTCAATAACTTTTTCTGGGAACCCTTCCCTGACTTAATTAAATCCTACCATTATCTCATAGCTCCATATCTTTTCTTTGGCTGCTTTATAAATGAAACACAGAGATAATGGTTTAGCATAGATTCCTCTCACGAACCACAACAGTACTATTGTTTCTTGGCTTGTGACATTTGGCTTGTAGAATGCATCCTAGAGAGAATTTGGCCAGAGCAAGGAGTTTTGTTTAAGAAGATTTGATTTTTGTTTTTGCACAGGGGTCTGGAATTATTTCCAAAGGGTATTGGTGAAGAAATATGCCTCAGAAAGAAATGGAGTAAATGTGATAAGTGGACCAATATTTGACTATGACTTTGATGGCTTACATGACACAGAAGACAAAATCAAACAGTAAGCTTTTCGTTTTCATTCAGTATGGGATGTTTAAGTTCCAAGATATCAGCCAAGGTTATTTTTCAAATATTCATGTACTAGAGAAGAGTCAATACCCCTAAGTCTCTTCTTTCATTGAACCTCTTTTTGAATTCTTCAGTTCTTTTGAACCTTTGATTAAATGTGGCATTGGTGGTTCAAAGGAAAATTTTCATTTTGTGTGAAATAAATGCAGTTTTCTATTCCATGAAAGAAAATATATCAAATATTTAAAAAATTACCATTGGTTCTTCTATGTAACAACTCTTCAATGGAAAGATCATAGTATTCACTTTCCTCCATTATTTTGAGAGACTTCTGGAAGCTTTTATACTTTCTGAGTCATTATATATCATTAGGAAATTGCAAGAATTTTGGTTGAATCTAATTTTCTCTCTTTGATGCTATTGGGGATAAATTAAATGTTGATTTCATAAGGAACTCAAGAGTTTAGGGGAGGAGGCAAGAAGACACAGAGATGACACTTCAGAATGAGTTATCATTTAATTTTATACCCCCAGGAAACAATCAGGGAGCAGCATGGCATGTAAGACATACGTAATTTTGTATTACAGATTTTTAGGGAATAAAATGCTATTTTAAAGTAACAGAGAACTATTAAAATAGAAATCATCTTACTCCTTTTCCAGTCATTTATGAGAGAAATTTCATCTTAGTTATACACTTATTTTATTGATGACCATTGTTATATATATATATATATATATATATATATATATATATATACTTTATAATAATATTTATGCATACATAGTTTATGAGTATAGTATATACAGTATGTATATAATATATGTATGTATATATTTATATACATATACATATTGTTTTTTAAAAAAATTTACTTATTTTATTTATTGCTATTTATTTTATTTATTTATATGCAGTGCTGAGAATCGAACCCAGTGCCTCACACATGATAGACAAGTGCTCTACCATTGAGCCACAACCCCAGCACAAAATACATAGTTTTTAACCAATATTAAGTTTTTAGTTCAATTATAATTTTGATATTTGGAAAATGATTAAAATTAAGATACTATAAAAACAGGTAAGAAATTGTAAGTTTCTATACTTTGCTGTACTGGAAATGATTTTTTTATACCTCTAGGCTCATCCCCAGCATTTGGTCCTTAATGCTTTCTTTGGTAAATGAATTCTGTGTACCAAGACAGGGTCTCATTGCAGCTTGAAAGGGCTATTATTTCCCGAAGTCCAGTGTCTCATGACTTTGGTCCATTTTCTACAACTCTATGAGAGTTACCTTCCTAAAATGTGGGTGTAGTAATGACGCTCTACCATAAACATCTTTAATGGAACATTATTTCCTAAATAGTAGTATCCGAACACCACATCGTGGCTGACAACTCACTGTAATTTGTCTTTTGTTAGCTCTCCAGACTTTCATTTCTACAAATTGGATCTATTTGCCATTTCCTGCCTCCAACTCTTGGATCAGACCATTTTCTTTACCTGGAATATTTTTCTCCCTCTTCAGATGGAAGGAGAACATGCCAGGCAGACATTATTTTCAGAGCTATAGAAGTGGGCCAGTGCTAAGAAGCGAAAAAATAACTCAACTGAGTGGGAATTAATGAGAATTAATGAGTGACTTCAGCAAAAACCTTTGGTCACCATTTAAAAAAGAAAGCTTCCGTATCTCAATTTTATATCACCTTCCTGTTTCAGGTATGTGGAAGGCAGTTCCATTCCTGTTCCAACTCACTACTACAGTATCATCACCAGCTGCCTGGATTTCACTCAGCCAGCCGACAAGTGCGATGGCCCCCTCTCTGTATCCTCATTCATCCTTCCTCATAGACCAGACAATGATGAGAGCTGTAATGTGAGTTCAAAGACAGAGTCCTTCAGGATTTGCTTTCATAATTAATTTTTGTTTTATAATTTATACTATCATTGAACTAGAACACACTTATTGCAAAGCATTTGGATTATCCAACAAAGTGAAAAAAAGGAAGGACCCAGGTAGAATATTATTTAACACATAAAGGCTTGGTGTTCTAATGGATTTTTATTTTTCTGTGTGTGTCTGTGTGTGAGTGGGTACATTTAGCAAACCCTGGCAGGAAGACAGGAGCCTTGCTATCTCCTGATCCTGCACTAATTAAGCACAAGGGGAAAATCATCTAATCTCTTTAGATGTCTTTAATGTAATACAAAGTCCCTGCTACAAGTAATAGTCTATGCATTTGTTTCACTTGGTAGAAGAAGCAGGGAAGTAATCTGCAGAAGAGAATGTTAGTAAACAAGTCATATTCAAATCCCTAAATTGTATAAGATATACAATATAAGATATAAATGTCCTGGATCCTACTCCAGTGAATCTCCTGTGAATCTCTCCCTTTATAATACTGTGTTAGACATAATCACTACTCTCAGGCAGCCAAGAGATTAAAAAAAAATGCTTTCCTTTTTTTTTTTTGTTTGTTTTTTTGTTTTTACGGTGCTGGGGATTGAACCCAGGGGCATTTTGCCACTGAGCTACATCCTTAACCCTTTTTTTTTCTAGCTTTTTACTTTATAAATAGAGTCTCACTAAATTGCTAAGGTTGGCTTTGAATTTGTGATTCTGCTATTTCAGCCTCCTGAGTTGCTAGGATTACAGGTGTGTGCCAACATGCCTGGCTAAGTCATTGCCATACTAAAAGACAACAGAGATTATCAGCTTCATGGGTAATGCAGTTCTTGGGCTATGGCTTCAATTATGGTTGAAAGTTGGAGCTATGAATATTCAAACAAAGGATGCAGGAAAACATACATATTTGAAATGCTGTGTAGAAATCGAGTTAAGCTTGTCTAGGATATTGTGATTATGGCCAATAGTGGGAGATAAGATTTTAAAAGTTGCTTAGAAACAAATTAAAAATATTGTAATAGTAGTAATAGTAATAATAGTCTTAGTAACAGTTCTAGTAGTTTTTACCATTTATTGAGTACATATTGTGATCCAGGTACTGTGCAGGTCTTCTACATGTATTATTTCTAATCATCAAATCACCCTATGAGGCATCTCTCTCTCTCCATATATGTATGCTTACATAGACACACACACACACACACGCGCCTTTTTATCAGCTGCTGAGGAACCTATAGATAATAAAGGAAACATGCTGCCTGGTGACTTAGTAGGAGGGCAGAATGTATAGAAACCTGTTTTCTTTTCCATTTACCAGATTTCTGTGTTAGAACCTGGGCACTTGGGAGCTTTTCTTTCTGCACAGTCATTAGATCAACCAAGAAAAATGTCTGATCAGAAGAGCAACATTTAGGCTTTATGGAGGTGAACTTGAATTGGAGGAGGCTGGGCATGGTGTTCACAGGGAGAGATTCACAGGAGTGAGGTAGCAAACCTTAAACTGGAGTAGGATCCAGGACATTTAAAAAGAACAGTGGAAAGCACTAATAGTATACCTGAAGGATCAGTGGGGCTCTCTGCATGATCGGATGGGCGGTGGAGAAGTGAGGCAACTGCACTGAGAGGTGAGATATCACAGACTTCACAGTTGACCTTTATTTTGATTGTTCAAAACCATAAGAGTAGCTAATGGAGTAATGGGGGATGTAATGCCTCCGTGCAACATTACAATACTTTCTTTGAGCTTCAGTTTTACTAAGAACTTCTTGGGAAGTAAAAGTTTTGCAAAAAAACAAAAACACATACTGTGGAGTGAAATCAAAGTTGTCTTGCATTTTTTTTTTTTTTTTAGATAAAGATTGCAAAGACATTTCATACATAGAGTTGGGCATTTAAGGTGTATATATAAAGTTCTTGAAAATACATGTTCAAGTTCTAATGTCATTAGGGGAGTTGGGTGAAGGGAGAGTTTGAAAAGCACTGTTTCAGACTAAGTGGAAGGGATAGTTCTCTAGTTGATCCACTTTTTCTATCTGGAAAGTGTAATTCAATACTGTCCCCACAGGTTTTCCTCTGCCTACTGGTTGCTGACCTGCAGAGTTTAGAGGTCTTTTTTTTTTTTTGTAGAGTTCACAGCCACTATCCTTCGTACTAAAGAATCCTCTGTCCACAGAGAAACCTGTCCATGCTTTGAAGATTATTTCAAAGCCCCAGCTTGAATTCACAAATCTGCTTAGGGGAAAGTCAGAGAGAAAAGGCAGGTGAAGAAAAAATACCCATAGCACAAAGACAGGAGGCAAGTTCATGGACTGTGCTATTGTTTGCTTTAATAATCTGCTATTTACTTTTAAAGTTTCTCCTTTCCTACTCTGACCTTGGTGCATGGACTTTTATTTAAATTTATTAGTTTTTCATCTTGCACGACATTCTTCATGTGCAGCGCAGCCTGGTTTTCCTACTGACAAATTAGAGACCAGATTTTAGCATGTGAAAACCAGCAGAGAATGCCCTTCCAAAGAAAATGGCAAATCACTTCCCAGGAAAAGAAGTTGCAAAAGACATATTTTTTTTCCCTTGAATTCTTATAATCCCAGTTTGCCATGATTTAAATTAGGAGAACCCTTTCACCTCTGTCCACATATTCAAATAATTGCATTTACAAAGGGAAAGCAGGACTGACTTACCATTGAAAAATCGAACCAATGAGATAAATATGAAAAGTCTCCCAAAGCACAACCTCATACTTACTCTGCTCACTCTGAGGGGGTCCTGACCCATCTGAGACCTCCTACTTCGTTAATTATATGGTCACACTGAGGATTGGTCAGTACCGTTGTGGGTAGAGTTATATTTAGGTCTTTCCTGTGAGTCGTAGAGATCTTGGTTAGGTTGGCTAGGAGGGTGGGGCAGGGAAGGCTAAAATCCTTACTTCTCCAGGCTGTAAAGCAATTTCTTCCCATTTCTTAATTTTCCTGGGATGGCCAGGCATCAGTTTCCTGATCCTACCCTGTCATGCTACTTATTTAGTCCTGGCACAAGTTTCTGTAGCTCCCTGTCCAGGTCTGTGTGGGTTGGAGCTTTCTGAGAAAATCTTTGCAGGTTCTCAGGCTCTGGTGGATAGTTCACTGAGACCACTAGTGGTCAAGAGTTGGATGAGGGCAAATCTGAACATTTTTAACCCTGGGACATGCAGCCACACTTCAACTTCTAGAAAGACTCTTTTGGGGGAGGGTCATTTCAGTCCCAAGGGAATTAGGAGATGAGAGCACTTGTAAAGCCCTCCTGTCCCAAGTCTACTGATGAAGGCAAACTCTTGGAATTGACAGGGCTTTCAGACCTTGTTCTTTCCCCCAATTGCCTCCAAAATAATTTTGGAAGTACTTTTGAGAAGCAAAGTACTGCTTCACCTGAATTACCTTTTGGTTTTAAGTTAGACTTGAGATAAATTGTTTGATGTGGGACATCTGACTGTCTTTCATCTGGAATTTGAGACAGCAAGGCAGTTTTTGGCAAGTAGCTGAGACAGAAAGAGATTTCCTTTCCTTCATGATGTTTCTTTACCTTATTTCCCCCTCTTTCTCCCTCTCCTTTTTTTTCTACTTCCCAGGGAGCTGCTGAAGTAAGTGTATTAACCTTTGAGTTGATAAAGAAATGTGGTCTTAAAGTCAAGCATCATGACCAAGTTCACACAGCCAGGAAGTGGCAGTACCACATTTGTAGCTCAGGCCTCTCAAGCCCCAAAGTGCCAAGTGCATCAACTGAGCTGTGTCAAGTTGAATTCACTATTCAAATATCAACTAGTTGCAGTCTAATAGATGATGTAGTTGATATAGTGGCTTCTTTTGAACAATCTAAGAATGCAAACACACACAATTTTGTACATTGGGTACCAGCTCTGCATTTTCCTTTGGAAGCAGGACAGTATTCAGATTACCTGTGCGCTGTAGTCAGCATTGCATTTTTCAGCCGGGAAAAGAACCAAGTTATTGAATTCTCCAGAGTCTATGGTTTTCCTAATTTTGATTTACATTCTGAGAACCTATTGAGAAGAGTGCCTCTCATACCGCATGTCTCATTTATTTGGTACAGCTAATTGCTGTTGAAAATGTTTACAGCCAAGGCCAGGTATTTGTGGTGCATTACCAACAGGAATGCTGCCGAGTGACAGGAAGGTCAAGAAGGAGCGACATGCTTTAGCGCTGTGTGCAGGAGTGTGTAGAGGTCATTTGTGGACTTGGAGTAGAATGACCCTTTAGAGAACCACCTCTGGAACATTCTGACTCTGATTGCTTTATTTCCATTACAGAGCTCAGAGGATGAGTCAAAATGGGTAGAAGAACTCATAAAGATGCACACAGCTCGAGTGCGGGACATTGAACATCTCACCAGTTTGGATTTCTTCCGAAAGACCAGCCGCAGCTACCCTGAAATTCTGACACTTAAGACATACCTGCATACATATGAGAGCGAGATTTAACTTCCTGATCATCTGCAGTATAGCCTTATCAACTGGTGTATATTTTTATATTGTGTTTATATTTATTAATTTGAAACCAGGACATTTAAAAAAGCTTAGTATTTTAATCCTGTACCAAATCTGACATATTAAGTGTGAATGACTCCACTGTTTTTCTCTAATGCTTGATTTAGGTAGTCTTGTGTTCCGAGTAGAGCTTGTAATAAATACTGCAGCTTGAGTTTTTAGTGGAAGCTTCTAAATGGTGCTGCAGATTTGATATTTGCATTGAGGAAATATTAATTTTCCGATGCATAGTTGCCACATTTAGTCCTGTACTGTATCAAAATTCTGATTTTGTAAAGTTACATTCATTTGCTGTTAACTATGACAGACATATTTAAGCCTTATAGACCAATCTTAAATATAATAAATCACACATTCAGTTTTTTTCCTCATTTTGTTTGGCCTTTATTTTACTAATAAATTAGAGGGCTTGCTTCAGGTATACTCATGCATATAAGGAACACATTTATATGGTCCCTCTTCCTAGTTGTTCCCTTGGTATGTAAATACAGGGGTTGGATGAGATGGTTGAGGTACATATCTGTGAGAAATCAGAAGAGCAGAGGGAAAAGGAAGAGAGAATACCTGAATACCCCGTCCAAAGCTACCTTTTAAAAAAATATTCTGAACATTGGAAGAATTGTCTTTTTTATCAAGTTGGTTCAAAACTCAAAGAATTAGACTCAGTTGAAATTGCATTTATATTCTGTGCAAGGTTTCAACCTAAGAACCATAGTAGATATAAAAAGAAACAAAACAGTGAGTTGAAATATAGACATGAGCATGTAACTACCCAAAGTGGAGAATGCTAAATGCCAAGTGAACAGTGTAACAGTACAATATGACAGAGAGGCTGAATAGTATATAGGGTGATTTTAGAAGGACATAATTTTGGCTTTAAATAATAACTGATGTATGGAGTGAGGAAGACGTTCAAAAATTTTCAGTCTTTTTGACTATCATGGAGAACGATTATAGTTTTCGTATCAGTGTTGTCACTAATATATTAGGGTTGTTACTTTTCTAACAGTTGCTCATCTCCCTTTAGGAAGAAAAAAGAAGAGTATATTGTTTATTTTCAATATGTTAATTTTTATAATTGCTCCTTTTTATGATAAATGAAAGGAGTTTTTAATTTCTATAAATTTTCCTTTAAAATATGTTAATTTAAGAAGGAAGACGTTGCGTAAATAAAAAAATCATGACATCAAAAGTAGGAAGATGGTACTGGGAATATGTGAATGCTTGTGAAGGTGGTGAGAGAAAAACTGATGTTTGAGAAACATAGCTCTAGCAATAGATTGGAAGAAGTGGTCATAGTATTACTAATGATAGCAACATTTATTTAGTACCCACTGTAGTCTAGGAATATCTTTGGCACTCAATAAGCCTTGTCTCTAATCAGGAAAAAATGGGAAGCTCAGGGAAGATTTTTTTTTTTTTTGAGAGAGAGAGAGAGAGAGAATTTTTTTAATATTTATTTTTTAGTTTTTCGGCGGACACAACATTTTTGTTTGTATTTGGTGCTGAGGATCGAACCCGGGCTGCACGCATGCCAGGCGAGCGTGCTACCGCTTGAGCTACATCCCCAGCCCCAGGGAAGATTTTATAAAGGGAAAAATGGGCATGTGGATGAGGAAGAATGTTTCAATTGGATTTTGGAGTTTGGGGTAGGGTTAAAGAAAGGTAAAAAAGACTTGGAATATGGTTCATTATCCATTCAGTATTCAACAGTGATTTATCCAGTATCTACTATATGTCAGTGCCTATAAAACAGGTGAATAAAATAAATATTTCCTGACCTGATGCTGGTTACTCTTTAATGAAAGAAAAAGATCCTATTAAAACTCCAGGTTCTAGCCAGGCAGGTAGAGCACACCTATAATCCCAGCGGCTCCAGAGGCTGAGACAGGAAGATCTCGAGTTCAAAGCCAGCCTTAGCAAAAGCAAGGCACTCAGCAATTCAGTGAGACCCTGTCTCTAAATAAAATACAAAATAGGGCTGGGGATGTGGCTCCGTGGTTGAGTGCCCCTGAGTTCAATCGTTTGTATCCCAAACAAAACAAAACTCTAGGCTCTGAAGTTTAGTTAGCTATGTGTTGTGGAAGAGTTAAACAGGTGGAGAGTGACAAGGGGACTGAAAGGAAAGGGCCTTGTAGATGACATTGCAGCCCAGAACCAGGAGAGGAGAAGAGTTGGCCTTGAGAAGAACAGGGACAAGAAGAAAGAGCATGACCCATGAAAAGATCTCTGGATATGGAGGATGTGAAAGAAAACATGTATGCCTAAGCGAGGTGGCAAGGTTGGTGGGGACTGGGTCAGGCCCACTGAGGCCTGGTTGGCCCTATAGAGACATTTGGATTCCATTCAAATTGCAAATGGAAAATAACTGGAAAGTCTCCAGCAAGATGTGACCGGATCTGATGTAAGACTATGGATGTGTAATAATTACATACTATTCTCTGAATATAACTCCACATAAAAATAGATAAGGGCATCCACTTACTAAATGCTATAACAGTATAACTGTCTCCCAACAGTAGCATTGTAAGGGAGAGGGGCTTTTTTAAAAAAAATTTTTTTAAATAGTTGCAAGCTCCATGCTGGGCTAGATTTCCATATCACCTCAAATTGAACTCTTCCCAAAATAGGTTATACCTGAGGTTCCTGGGGGAGAACAGTTGCAAATTTAGTTGAATACTGCTGCTCTATTTCTATCCTTAGGCCAAGTGTTTCTCTCTCATAAATAAACTTAATGCCCAGAGAGAACATCAACCACTGTGTATTTCAGGTAAGTGGCTTTGCCGATAAACACGTCATTAATTGTGGGGTTATTTATTAAAGTCCCTGAATGGACAGGGACTCTATTAAATGAGGTCTAGAAGACTATTTTAAGTTGGGGGTACTATTTTTTTTTTTTTTTAAATACAGAGACCTTGGTCCATTCATGCTTTCATTGAGCAAGTTGCAAACCACCCGCGCTAGCATGGTGGTCCTGCTCTAGCGGATGGATTCAGAAACTGCCTCTCTAAAATGAGCTCATTGTAATGGGATAAACCAGGAAAGCAGCCACATGGTTTCCCAAGGGTGAAAACATTCTGAATTGTTTATAAGAGGGTTGACTTTAACAACAACAACAACAAAAATCTCTGAACAAAGGCAGTATTTGGTGCCAACTTTGTTTGCGCAACTCTTCCCAAGGGCCACAGCTCCCAGCTTCCTGTGCCCGTTATCCCTGTGGTAGTTGGGAAGCGGGTGTCTGTGGGTGGGTCCAGATGACCCCTCCTGTTTATATTTCTCTTCCTTCAACTTTCCCTTACTATCTCCCTGCTGAGTCAGGACTGGGCTGCCCTGTGGGTGGGAAGTGGTAAAGGCGATGGAAACTCTCCCATGGCTTGGAGAAGGATGGTCTGGGACAGCAGTGAACAAAACTCAGATGTTCACGTTTATGAGCTGGAGAGAAGAGCATTGCTGGAGGTCCAGCCTAGAGTGCTGGTGGTTCCTGTTTGGGCTGCATTTCTAGGAAGTGCATATCCTTGACCCCTTTGGCAAGGATGTCAAGGTCTGGCTGGAATGTAGAAGTGGACAGGATGAGCTCTGGCAGATGCTTCCCCTCCTTCTCCTTCTCCTCCTCCTCCTCCTCCTCCTCCTCCTCCTCCTCTTTCTCTTCCCTCTTCCTCCTCTCCTCCTTCCAGCCTTACTGAAATAAACTGACATAATCAACTGCATATATTTAAAGTACACAATTTGATAACTTTGACATACGTGACCACCATGGAACAATTCTTATGATCATAATAGTGAGTATATCCATTCACCCAAGTGTTTCCTCACGTCCCTTAGTACTCTCTTTTATTCGTAAACCATACCACCCCTCCCACTCACCCCCAGCCCTGATCTGCTTTCTGTTACTATAGCTGGCATTTTACAGAGTTTCCTACTAATGGAACAGTACAGCATGTGCTTCTTGTGTCTGGCTCTTTGACTCAGCATAGTTATTCTGAGGCTCATTTAGTTGGGAGTCTGTATCAATAGTCCATTCCTTTCAAATTATTGAGTAGTAGTATCCCATTGTATACATATGGCATGTTTGCTTATTCATCTGTTGGTGGACCTTTGAGTTATTTTCAGCTTTTAGCTATTGCAAACAAAAAAACTGTTAGGGATTTGTGTGTACAAGTCTCTCCGTGGACATACACTTTCCTTTCTCTTTGGTAAACACCTCCTGGTGGGATGGCTTGACCCTGTGGTAGGTAGGCATGTATTTACCTTCTTAAATAACTGTTAAACTGTTTCCCAAAGTGGTTGTTGTGTTTTACATTCCTACAAGTAGTGTGTGAGAGTTCCACCAATAGGTGAGTAGTGGTATTTTACTTTTTTTAATCTGCACTTCCCAGTGTTCTCATGTGATTATTTGCCATCCATATATTTTATTTAGGAAATCTCTGTTAAAATATTTTAGTCATTTAAAAATGTCAAATTATAAAAAAAACTTATTTGTTTCCTTATGATTTTAAGAGGTATTTACATATTCTAGATTCAAATCTCTCAAATGTATCTTGTGACAACTTTTTCTCAGTCTGAGACTTGTCTATGGTATCCTTTGAAGATGAATTTTTAAAATTTTTGATGAAGTCCAATTCATTAATTTGTTCTTTAATAAATTATACATTTGGTATGTATCTAAGAAATCTTCTCCTGACTCAACATTTTTCATTTTTTCATTTTGTTCTTGAAGTTTAAACTTTAGAAGAAGTTTTACCTTTAGGTTTAGGTTTATGATTCATTTTGTATTAGATTTGTATGTGGTATAGGGTATTCAACCATTATTTTTTTCTGCATAAAAATATACAATTTTTCCAGCACTATTTTTTTTAAAAAAGCAATTTGTTTTATCTGCTTTTTCACGTTCCCAATTCCGTAGATCAGCTATGCAGGTAGGTGTGAGTTTGCTTCTGGGCTCTTTTTCTAGTTCACTAATTTACGTGTCTATTTTTATACAAACACAGTACCATTTTAATTACTATTATTTTTTAATAATTTTAAAATTCAAACATTATCAGCCTTCCAACTTTCTTCTTCTTCTTCTTGTTCTTCTTCTTGTTCTTGTTCTTGTTCTTGTTCTTCTTTTTGGGTAATTCAGTCTATTGTAGATTCTTTGCATTTCCACGTAAATTTTAAGATCACCTTATAATTTTTAGAAAAATTTCCATTGAGATTTTATTAGCTCTATCTTGAAATCATTTAGAATTGGCATGTTAATAATTATTGAGCCCCTCTGACCTATGTGCTTAGTGTCTCTCTCAACTTATATAGGCCAGCATTTGTATGTCTGAATGGTCATTATTTCACTTCTGACTTCCAAAGATATTTTCCGTAGGTGAAGGATTCT